TTGAAACAAAATCAATCAAAACATTTTTTCCGACGATGATGATGATGGTTCCATGATCGCGAGGGTTTTTTTCATGTCTAGAAAATGGATAGTCGAAAAAATAGACATTTTTTTTGACTTGTCATCATCATCGACCAACCAACCAACAGCATTTCGAATGGTAACAAAAAAAATGGCCCCAGACCCTGGATTCAATTCACAACGGTCTTCATCCAAACAAAACAAAACAAAAAAATCATGGAAATTCATTCAACAACAGCAAAAAATCAAATGACAAAATCGCATCGAATCGATCGGAAACGATCAACAAAATGAGAATGGAGAGCAAAAATGGCAAAAAACGGTACAATAGATCATGGATGAATTGGCAAACAAAACAAAAAAAGGAAATAGCAAATGAAAAGACATTCGAATCGGAAACAATATATATCCCAACCATCCATCTATCCATTGAGGGTATATGTCACACATACACACAAAAAAAATGATGCTATTTCAACACAAGTTGGCAATTTTTATCTATATATAAAGAAAAACCTGAAAGATATAATGATGATGATCGAAATGTCTTGTCGAATGAATCTTATTTTTTTTTCTGGAATAAAAAAAGACCAAAAATTCAATGGGCGTTGAAGAAAAAAAAATCCTACGCGAAATTGCTGCTGTTGTTATTGTCGCTATCGCTATAAATTATGATTATTATTCACCATTATACTTGTCTAGTTTGATTATCATCATCATCATCATCATCATAATTTTTGATTATTTTTTTTTTCTTCATCTTCGTCATGTTATGGGGTCGATGAGATAATTTTATTAGCATCCACACACACACACAACAACAACAACAAAAGCAATATGCAGACTCCCCACACACACACACACACACAAAGACAAATTTATAAAATTATGAATTAAATCATCATCATCATTTCAATTTTTCAATTTTAATGCTTTAAAAGTTAATTCAATTCAATTCAATTTTTTTCATTCTCTGGTTAGAAATAACAAAAATGGGTTAGGCTTTTTTATTCATATTCAATTCAATTGAATTGAATTTAAATTTGATTCATGTTTATGGTTTGTAAAGAGAATAGAGAGAGAGAAAAAAAAAAAAATTCACAATCCATTGTAATGGTAGTGATGATTGTACAAGTGAGGAAATAATATTCTTTTGTTGAAAAAAAAATTAATAAAAAAAATTCTGGAAACAGAATAATCATCATCATCACTGCATGCAAAAAAAAAAAAATTCTCATATATTAATGATGATGATGATGGTAAATGAAATGAAATCTATGGATTTTTTTTTTTTTTATTCTTTCATACCGAAATCAATCATCATCATCATGTATTATAAACGGAAATTGAAAAAATTAAATTCATTCACAAGGCAAACTATGATTTGTTGTTGTTGTTGTTGTTGTTGATCATTTGTAATTTTGATTTTAGTTATGGTTATGGTTTCCATGTGGAAGAAAAAAAAATGACAAAGCGAAAAAATGAAAATGAAATGAAAATAAAATATATGGTATACTCACGCCAAATGATTGATAAATAATCATGTCATACAATGAATTAATCGATAATCATCATCATCATGATCATCGATTCAAGTAAATCAATCGATAAACAAACAAACAATTCACCGGTAAAAATAACTGGAATGAAAAGTCGGTATTTTTCTACCAATAAACAAACGTACACACACACACAGGGCAATTTTCAATAAACTAGTGAAACTTTTGTTTTGTTTTGTTTTTTTGAGGACAAACTGTTTAAAAAAAAAAACAAAAATTCAGGTTGTGTGAACAAACAAGCCGCCTACACACACACACACACACACACATTGAAAATGTAAAATTGGAAATTTTAAGAAAAATGAAAAAAAATGTCACCCAAAAACCAACAAACAACAACAACAACAACACAGTGTTTGTGTGTGTGTGTTAATTTTAGAATAAAATTAACGGAAAAAACATTAACACACACACAGAGATATTCTTGAACGAAAAAAAAATCTATTCCAAAATTTTTTTTTTTCTATTCCAAAGTAGCTAGTGATATGTCAAACTATGAATTACAAGACAGGCATAGAATTAGAATCAGACAAAGTTCTAGATTCGGTTGTGTGTGTGTGTGTTTTTTTTTTCTTCTCGTTTTTGTTTTCAACAAATCTGGTTTCTTTTTTTTTTCTTTTCTTGGCATCAAAAATTAGATTTTTTTTTTTGCCATTAAGCTCTACATTCATTCATTTATTCAGTGAAATAGAAAACAAAAAAGCAAATTTTTTTTTGGCAAACAACAACACTGAAATCGACGACATACACACACACAAGGCAAACGAAGACGGCGACGACGATTTTAAAGAAACGAATAAAAAAACACAAAAAAAATTCGTTCAAGGGAAGAAAAGAAAAAAAATTCAGGTCAAACACACACACATAGACACAAACAAACATTGGATATTATTGATGATGATAAACCAGAATGATTAACTTGAAATAAAAAGTTTTAAAAAACACTCACCTAATAGTTGAATATAAAAAAAATGATGAAATGATCAAGACATGAATGAATGAATGAATACGTGTTTTTTTTTATGTGATCCAAATATCAATCAAATATCGTTTGGATCACCACCGAATTAGGATCATACACACACACACACACACAACAATTGAAGACAAACACATGTCCAAAATGAAAATGATGTATACAAACACACAACACACAGAAAAAAATTTGATGGCCGCCGGAAATTGGCAAACATAACGTATATTTTTTTTCAGAGGAGAAATTTGCAACAATCAATGCAATCATCATCATCATACTAATATATAAACGTAAACATCTTGTGTGTGTGTGTGTGTGTGTCAGTACAGAAAAGAAATCAAATGGAAAGAGAGAGAGAGAGAGAATTTTGATAACGAAAAAAAATAACGAAAAAAAAAAATAAGAAAAAGAGAAAGAAAACCATACACAAAAACAGATAAGAAAATTTTTAGCAATGATGAAATGAAATGAAATGAAAAAAATTTTTTCGAGGTAAAAACGTGGGCATCATCATCATCATCATCATAATAATACCATTTTGATTGACACCATATATATGTTTCGGCTACACAACAACAACGCCACGACTACCACCACCACCACCACCACCACTCTTTCGAACCATAAATAGTCAAACAACAACAACAACAAAAAACAAATAGAAAAAAAAGGTGTACAATTAAAAAGAGAATGAAAGAAAAAAAAAATGCCATTTCATTAGCAAAAACGCACACACACATAAATCCATGAATGAACAAAACAAAACAAAAAACTGAAAAAAACTGAAAAAAAACGACAAGATCCAAATTGGAATTTTCAATTTTCATTCACAAAATTTGTGTCGGTGTAAGAAGAAGAAAATGGCAAAGAAAAAGAAAAAGAAAATCTAAATGAGAAAAATTAGCTAAAAAAGAAAAAAGAATGCAAAAAAAACGGAAAAAATTTCCATCTTTGGAAATGGTCGCCGAAAAAGACGTGTTTTTCACACACACACACACACACACACACACACGGATTGCTTCATTTTGATGGTCATTATCATCCAAATCATCCAAACAACGACAACGACAAAAAAAATTCAGTTGAATAAGACGCACAATAAATGAATGAATGAATGAATGAATGTGATAATGTGCTAGCCAATAATGTATTATAAACAAAAATTAAGAAATATTTGAAATTGTCAAATAAGGCATGAATTATATATATTATGGATATTATCATCAGTGGAAAGAAAAAGAAGAAGAATATATTGGACAACGTATATCATTATCAATATATCGATATAATGATATTTGGACAATATGAAAATCAAACAAACAACAAATATTAACAATAATAAATAGCCAAATAGTTTGGCTATGATGATAATGATGATAATGATGCAAATATTACAGCCATTAACCATCGGAATTGAATGAAAAATTTATTAGGTGTGATAATAATAATCATCATCATCATAATCATGATTATAATGATGACCAAAACTTTTTATTTTTATTTTATTATTATTAACCATATAAATGACCCATCATCATCAAATGTTTGTACATATTTTGGATGATCAACAAACATGATGATGATGATTATACCACATATGGATCTGAAAACAGCGACAAAGGGGGTAATCATTTGATTTTTGGCTGTGCTGTTAATTTGTCATTGTTGTTGTTGTTGTTTGTTGTTTTTGGCTGTTGGAACAAAACAATAAACAGAATAAAAAAAAAAAAATGGAGGAAATGCTCAAAAGACATGCACACGCACACACACACACACACACAAAAAAAATAACGACAGCGGCAACAAACAAAGAATAGACCGACAAATCTAATATGAAATATGAATTTTTAAACAATGAAATTGTGACCTTATGGTTTCACTCTTTGCATCCTTTCATCATAACATTTCAATTTCAACAACAACAATAACAACAACAACAACAACAACAACAACAAAAACATAAAAATATTCCGGTTGAAAATTTCGGAAAAAGATCACAAAAATTTTTTTTTTTTTTTTTTTAGATCTAATAAGCATCATTAAAAATGATGATGATGATGATGATGATCCATAAAGTACTGGCAAAATCACCCTGACGACGACGGCAAAAACCGTGTGTGTGTGTGTGTGTGTCTAACCACCACCACCGCCACAAATGGTAATCATCATTATCACCATGGAAAAAAAATAAGTGAAGATTCAAAAATAATGATGATGATGATGATCATGGTTTGATAACGAGTCATTAAACATATGAAAAAAACACAGAAATTTTTTTTCATGGGGAAAAAACTAATCCAAAAGTGCATCCTATATTCAACTACTCAAAAACTAGGAAATTCACACTACAGCAAAAAATTTGAATTTCAATTTCAATTTTGTTCTCATTTCATAAATCTGTGCATAATTAAAAAAAAAGACAAAAAATTTTTTTTTCCACCTACCAATAAAAGAATGGCGTGTTTTGTTTTGTTTTGGTTTGTTTTTTCCACCGATTCTTATTAGCCAGTAGTCGTTAGAATTTCCCCAAATGATCATTGCCATGAATTGGTCGATGCGTTTGTGTGTGTGTGTGGAATTCATGCAGACAAATAAAAATCCAATCACATCAATTTGTTCGATTCTGTTTATTCGAATATCAGAATTGGTGGCAGTAGTAGTAGTGGTAGTGATGAAAAACAAAAAAAAACAACAAAATTAGATTGAAAAAAAAAATTTTCAAATCATCAAAAAAAAATAACGGTAGAATCATGCAAGCAGTCGTCATGCATTACACCAGAATCACAATTTATATGCAACAAACACACATACACACACACACACAAGTACAAATTCCACAAATTAAATTGATCACGAAAAAAAAAATCAATTAATAATCAATAGGAAAACATAAAAATTTGGCGCCAAATTTTGAAAAAAAATTATTTCTACCACCATGATTATCATTCAAATAGAAAATTCTATTTCAATCCATAATGATGATGATCATGATGATGATGACTACACTATAACCATCAATCGAAACGATATATAAAAAACTTTAGCGTTTTTAATGGAATGGAATAATAAAATGAAATATATGAAATGAACAAACGAATCAAATGGTTGTCGAGCCCAATCATCCTACACACACACATACAAATACAAATACACTAGCAACGACAACGACGACGACGACGCCGACACACATACATACATCATCAATATCATCATCATCATCATCAACGAACATGGTAACATAACATATAAACAAAAAACAGTATTACAGATTGGCAGCCACGCCACACAACCATTTTGGTTGTTTTTTAACATTTTCAGTAGAATTGATGATGATGGTGATGATGATGATGATGAAATTGAAATTGAAAATGACAGACAAGACAAAACAGGATATCATCATCATCATCATCATCATATACATACCACCACCAACACCAAAAAAATTTTTTAAATAAATCAACAATGACGACGACGACGACGACGACGACGATGAACAGAAAAAAAAATAGGAAGAATTCACCACAAATACCGATATCATCTTTGAGATAATATGTGTATATAAAAATAAAGTATGGAATTATCTTCATCATCAACAACAACAACAACAACAACAACAAAAAAAACAAAATCTCTTCATACAAGATAAAGGCAAGAAAAAAACGAACCTAAAATAGGAGTTGCTCATCATCATCATCATCATCATAACGTCATCTATGCGTGGGATGCCTGAATTTTTTTTCTGATAAATAAAACAGCAAAAAAAAAAATGTAATTCGTTCGAATTTTTGTTGTTACACTGATCGGATGATGATGATATATCATCATCATCATCATCATTTTTTTTATTCAAAGATAAATCAGTGATGAAAAGTTAAAAACAGAAACAAACAAACAAACAACAAACAACAACAAACCGGCTTCAAAACCTATAATCATCATCATCATCATCTTCATCAGTATTCGATTGAAAGAAAATTTAATTCATTTTCAAGTTCCGGTGGAAGAAAAAAAAAAGAAGAAAATTGAAAAAAAACAAAACTAAACAACCAATCAATCGCCCTCGCATTTACATTTTTTTTTTTTTTCAAAAAAAAAAAAAAATTTAATCAAAAAAAAAAGAATCATTTTTTTCTATTTTGACCATAAGTAGCATCGTTGTTTCGTTCATCTGTCTGTCTTTCTCACTCTCTCTCAATATAAAACCCATATAGTACACATATAAAATGATAAATAACAACACGTTATATTGGACATGGCCTGATGGATTCTGTTTATATAATCAAAACAGCAAAAAAAAAGTTGAGTTCCATTCATTGGAAGATCTGTATACATTTTTTTCAATGAAAATGAATGCTTTTAAGAAAATTAAAAACAAAAAAAAAAAAAAAGATCTCTAGTTGTAGTATGGCTAACTGCTTGTTTGTTTGTTTGTTTGTTTGCAACAGAAAACAAAAGACAAATAAAGTCTGTGTGTGGTTGTATATAATAAATCCATTCAACGTGTAAAATAACCCAGTAAAACTAAATTGACATTTTCAGTTTTCTATAGTCTAGACACTCTATAGAGTAGTGAATTGTATCCACAATTGGTGTACAATGATCAAATCAAAACCCGAAAAGATTCAAACGAGAGAGATAATCAAATGGCTATTTGCAATCGATGGATTGTGTGTGTGTGTGTATGTGTGTGTGTGTGATAATCAAATTTCAATCCGATAAAATTCTCGGTTGTTTGAAAATGGAACCCCAAAAAATAAAAAGATTGATAAAGTCCATTGACCCATTGTTCCAATCTAGAATCGTAAAAAAAAATACCATATATAAACTTTAAAAATAGGAAGAGTCGATTTAATCATAAATTGATTCAATTCCTACCTATAGATGGCGCATCATCTGTATTCTGTATTCAAAAAAAAAGAGAATCGCATATGCGATAGAGATTCGTTTATTGATTTGAAAAAAGAAGACGGGAAAAAAATCGGATAATAAATTTACTAGCCAAACACAACCTAACAAAAGAGAAAACAATAATTTACTGACTAGCTGAATGGCTGAATGGAATGGAATGAAAATGGCAATAGGACAACAAAACATTCCAATCGAATAAAGATATCAAAAAAAAAAAAAAAACAGCAGCAACAGCGAACAAAAAAAAAAGAATGTGTAAACGAATATTGTAAATATATCGTCGTTTTCACTCTGTCTCTTGCTCTCGCCATCGGTTATTGATAGAGATGTTCCAAAACAAAATACCATACCATACCATATACCATTTTGAATTGAATGCGATGAATGACTACTAACCATGTTATCACATCATCATCATCATCATTATCAGTATATTTTCATAAACATCCCATGTGACAAACATTATTATTAATAATAAAATTCTCAAGCGAATATAACCAACCATCAACCACAAAGGGAAAAAAAATGTGGAGAGCGAGAGAGAGAGACAGAGAGAATTTAGATAAAAATCGATCAAACACACACACACACACAAAGACAGGAAAAAAAATTGAATTATGAATTATGGCAAGTGACCCTTGCAGTAAAAAAAAAACAACATGGTGATGACGAAAACCAAAACCAAAAAATTCATTTCATCAATATAACCTCTGGCCTAGAAAATGGGGAAAAAAAATTCAGCCATAGAGAACCGAGAACCATAAACAAATTGTGTTTGTGTTTGTTTATGTGCAAAAAACATGTGTGTGTGTGTGTGTGTGTGTGTGTGTGTTTGATCGATTTTAGATTTTCAAATGACATACTTTCTGTTTACTACAACTATTTGCAAATTTTTTTTCCAACCACCGAACAAACAACCAGCACATGTATACACGAAAAAAAAATCATCATCATCATCATCATCATCAAAATTCGTCAAGGTTGACAAAATGATACAGAGCAACAACAACAACAAAAAATGAAAAGCAAAATTGCTGCATATGTTGATCCAATGAGAAGCAACAAAAAAAAACAAAATTCTTTCATTACCGATAATGAAACACACACACACACTATCGATCACTGGAGGAAAAAAAAGCTCAAAGTTCATCCAAAGAATTATTATTGTTATAAATCTCTCTCTCTTGAATTCACAGGAGAATTTTTTCATGATTCATAAATTTCGTTTCTTTTTCTTTTTTTATTCAACCAAATAATAATAATAAATCCTAAATATATATTAATTACTACTATGAATATAAAATTCATAAGAATATTCTTGGTGTGTGATAAGAATTTATTTCCAAATATAAGCAAAAAAAATTACAGCCAACCACTAAAAGCAGTAGAAAGCCAAAAAAAAAAAAACACACACACACACACATTTGGATTCTGTCATCCAGAATAAAGCAACCACCACACATATGAGTAATGCTTTTTTTTCTCTGCTGCTGCCACTATCAATATGTATGTATGTGTGTGAATTGTATATATTCCAGCTCAAGAATAAGAAGAAAAAGAAAAAAAAATGATTTAGAATTGAACAAAACTTAAGTTGCAACAAAAAAAAAAAGACAACGACAACGACGATGATGATGAGGTCAGATATCACACACACACACACATGATTCTTTAATGCTCTCTATATATAAATATAAAAATAAAAATGCGATAATGTCTTTGTGTGTGTGTGTGTGTATGTGTCATCTATCTATAGAGAATATAAAGAATAAAATGGATTCTGTGAAAAAAAAAAAAAAGAAATTTTGTTTGAAATGTCGAAAAACTTGTGATAAACTTATGCACATTCACACACACACACACACAACACCAACACCAACACTGACAAAACACAGATAGAAATGGTAAAAGATAAATGCATTAAACCATCAAATCATCAACCATTGATCATGCCACACATTCATTCATTCATATTCATATTCACTGTGAACAACTAAAAAGAAATTGATACAATGATGACAACGACACACACATCACAGCCGTGAATATAAATATTTAAAGTTTGGAAATCCACGCACACATACACACACAAACAAAGTGATGGCATCACCTTTGAAAATTTAAAATTTTGAAAATTTATCAAACTTTTCATTTTGCGACAAATAAACAAAGCAAAAAACTGCCAAAAAAAACAAAATTCATAAATGTCAATGTCATCACATTTTTTTTTTTTTTTGGAATCATTAGATCATTTCCTGCAAATAAACAAAACGATGATGATGATGATGATGTAAATGATGATTTTACACACACGCAAGCACAAACACCGAAACAGGATGATAATAATCAATAAAAAAAAAATTACAAACCAGCATCCAGCAGTCTAGTATATATAGAAATTATTTCCGTTGAATATGTAACAACAACAACAAAAACAACAACAACAACAACAACCAAAACAACAACAATCGATAAAAAAAAATATCAAATGAAAATGAAAAAAAAATTGAAAATTGATGACACACACACACAATAAACAATGTTTAAATGTTTAAAAACATTAATTTTCAAAGACAAAATACTGGATAAATCGATCCTTTGGGAACACAGAAAAAAAAAAAAAAATTTTGTTCCATTTACGATTGTTGTTTGCCAAATACACACACACACACATATATTACACATTTCTATACTCTCTATCATCATTAACATCAAATTAATAATTAAAAAACACATACACACACATACATATTACACATTGACATCAATTAAACAAGAAAAACATTTGATTAATAGATTTCACTCACTCTCTCTCTTTTCTCTCTATTGCTTGATCTTTCATTCTATTGGGATAGGATTAGTAATGTTATTGATATATACTCTCCTAACCATATAGGTATCATCATCATCATCAATATTTGATCAATCAAATTTCTTTGATTTTTGATCATTTACACTTGTTGTTGTTGTTGTTGTTGTTGTTGTTGTTGTTTAACATGGAAATAATCTCTCTCACTCACTCACTCAGATATAAATGTTCGATTTCTTAAGTTGTTATGGTTATCATCATTGATAAGATTTTCGGATTTTCTTTTCTTTCTTTTCATTTCAAACTTGACTGATTTTTTTTTTGTTTTCATTTGAGAACTAATGTTGGATATATATGAGAGAAAAAAAATTTTTTTCTCTGTACAAGAGATGGATGGATGGATTTGAAAATGTAAAACCCATACGTAAACAACGACCGATTTGAGCAGCAGCAGCAAAAAAAAAACGGTTTTTCATCGCCTAGACAAACAAAGGATTAAACACACACACACACACACACACACACACCATAGACCAGAATCAAATAAATGAACAAGAGGATTATTTTGTTCAAAAAAAAAAAAAAAAAAAATTCTCATTATTATGATACCCGGGGAATCCATGTCAATTATCAGCGACAAACAAAACAAAATGAAATTAAATTAAATGACCTCAATCGATCAATCATTAATGATAACAAGTACATTATAAAAATGAATGAATGAATGAATTCGAATCTATTTCCACTTACCGGTGTTCATTTGTGTGTGTGTATGATTTATTGGAATTGAATTTTTTTTATTATTCATTGATCGATTGATGATTCATCAAATATCAAATACATGATGACTAATATGATTACCGTTCATTTTTTCTTTCGTTCACATGATAAGATGTCCTCTGCTGTTTGTGTGTGTTATAATCTGAATGTTTAAAAGAGGCAATCGACCGACAAAACAACAACAACAAAATTATTTGAAAACAACAACAACAACAACAACAACAAAAATCTAGACTTAATAAGCGTAGGTGATGTGTATAAGTGTGTAGGCGTGTGTGTGTGTGTGTGTTACACACATTCAACATTCATATATTTTAATGTCGGCCGGAATTTGAAATTAATTCGAAAAAAAAATTTACAGAATGTAAGAATTTATAATTAGAATTCCAGACGCAGAAAAAAAAGATGCAAAAAAAAACTTACTTTTTCTCCGATTATTTGCTGCATTTGTCTACGATTTCAGTGGTTTCAGTTGTTGTCGTTTATTGCATTGATTCTTCATTTATATATATTGATGATGATTGAAAACAAACTAAAGAATCATGACGAAAAACAAAACAAATGCTGAGAAAGAATTTTAAAGTGTTTGAGATCAGAATCAGAATCAGAACCAGAATAAATAAACAAAACAAACATCACAAGCTCTAAAATTAAAATGATCGGACGGCAAGTATATTGTATTGACATAAAAAAACAAAAAAACAAAAAATTCTTTTCATTGGATTATTCAGGTTCACAGTTTTGACTATACAGAATCAATTCTCTAGTTCCATGTGTGTGTGTGTGTGTGAATTAGGTAGAGTGAACTAAAAAAAAAAGAATTAATGAAACACAAACACGGCGAGTAGTCGTCTATAACAAACAAACAAACAAACAAGAAATTCTTTCTCAATCATATCAGTCACACACACGGACACACAGATAATATAGCTATGCAATGTACATATACTACACCACGACGATGAATTAGCACCGAAAAAAAAAAAAAATTTTTATATATATAACCGATAATGATAATAACGATGATGATGATGATGATGATAATGATATTGAATCAACCTAACAACTAACTATTGATGATGAAAAACAACAACAACAACAACAACAACAACTTATCCAGCAGAGAAATATAAAAATAAAAAAAAAATTCATCGAAAAGAAAAACAAACCGCGTTACGTTACGTTACGTTTTTTTTTTTTTTTTGGCTTTAGGGGGTGGTGTTTTCGGTGAAAAAAAAGGCAAGTGAAATATATTTTTTTTTGGTGGTTTGTTGTTGTCGATGTCGATGTCGATGTGTCGATGTCGATGTCGATGTGATGATGATGATGATGATGATGATGACTATCTCGTGTAGATTCAACAGAGAAAAAAAAACCAACAAGATACACACACAAAGGCACAAAGAACAGACACCAATACCACCGCCAAAATATAGACACACCAAATAGCTCATATATATATAAATCGAATTGGAAAAAAAAGCAAAGCCAAAAAAAATAAAAAGAATGAATTTTTACTCTCTCTCTCACACACACACATACTTTCTTTTTTTTTTTTCTTCTGGTGTTTTTAGTTAGTTGGTTGATTGATTTAGTTCTGTGTATGTGTGTGTGGTGGGTGTGATGAGGAGGATGACAATGAGAGTGCAAACAAGAAAAAACGAAAAAAGAGAGAAAATGTTTTTAGTAGTTATATCCGTATATGCTACGCAGTCATTTGTTTGTTCTCATTTGCAATAGGCAACAATTTCGCCCGAAAAAAAAATTGAGGAGAGGAAGAAGAAGAATAACACCGATAAGATTCTCATCCTCCTCCAAATGCACATAAAAAAATGCATGTGTGTGTGTGTGTGTGTGTTTTGTATCCCCTCCATTAAAAAAAAAGGATGGATAAATGAATTGCTTCAATGAATATATTGTGTGTGTGTGTGTGTGTGTATATTGTTTGCAATGCAATCATCAAAATCATCATCATGGATCCAAAAATGATGATAATAATAAATGCAGTGTTGTTAAAAATAAGCTGCTAGCAGCATATATCCATGTGTTGTATATATAAACATAACCAAATAATTGTTTGGTTGGTTGGTTGGTTGGTTGTGTTTATGTTTAGTTTTGTTTACATTCAGAAAAAAAACAAAAAAAAGCATGAATTGATATGTGAAAAAAAAATTCTTTTCAAGCATGCGCACTATAAAGAATATTCTTTTTATATGACTTATAATATGGTATGTAGTGTAGTGTAGCCGCATTGGATAGGTAGAAAAGAATTCTGTTTTTCTTCCTACAAAAAATTCATTCATTCATTCAATCAATCAATCAATGAGAGAAAAATAACCAGGATCCAATAAGGATGCCAGAAAAGAGAGAGAATGAGGAGAATGATCTGGGACCATATTTGTTGTTGTTGTTGTTGTTTAACCATTTGATAAAATATTATTATTATTGACGACCAGATGGCCGATTCAAGATTTTTTTTTTTTTATATTTCAAAAACATCACCATCAAACTAAACACTACATGAACACAAACACAATGACAATGTCCACTACTACTACCAGCATCAGCACCAACAACCACCATGAAAATTTTTTTTGAAAATTTTCAACAAATCCGATACAGACAGGCAAAAAAAACCGGAAATGAGATTAACATCATTATTGGAGTGACCCCATTCCTCCCCTCTCTCTCTCTCTCCCACCATGAAACAGAATCCAGAATAAAAAAAAATTGAACCAACAACAAACACAACAACAACAACAACAACAAAAAAATTATCGTTTCATATTTCATTCATTCATTCATTCACAATTCAATTCCAATATCCTGATATGGCGGATATTGTAACTGGTATTTACCGTTTTTGGTGAACTATGTGAAAAAAAACACACCCAGTATTTGCAATAAACAGATGGTGTGTGTGTGTGTGTGTGAATTTATTTATTTTTCTTTCTTTCTTTTTATCTAGTAAAAATGATAAAAATTCGGTTCATATACCATGGAACCAGCACACACACACACACAAAAAAAAAAATCGTTCAATTGAAATTCTGATCATCCATGATTTTTTTTTCATTTCATTTCACTTTTAAGAGTTTAACCACCACTATAGTGTGTGTCTGTGTGTGTGTGAATGTGATGACTGGTACTGGTAATTCTGAATAATCGACACATTCACACACACACACTCACACTCACACACACATCGACAATAAATAGATTCATTGGATTCTAAATTTAGAATAAAAATAGAATCAAAAAAAAAAAAATCTCATCCACTTGAATCTCATCTAAATTCAAATGTTAATGTAAATCGTTTCTATTATCATCATCATCATCATCATCATCAACAGTGTGAAAACAAAATTGTAAGATTCATGATCATCAACAATGATGATGATATAAATTTAGATACAACACACACACACATATAGCCACTACTGTTGTTGTTGTTGTCGTTGTTGAATGAATCATTGACGATTATTGAAATAAATAAAAATGATTCTTTATATATGAACAAACGAAAAACAAAACAACAACAACAACAACAACGACGACGCTAATCTTTCCATCAACAGCAGAATATTCTTGACAAACAACAGCAACAACTGTTGTCCACAATACAATATTTGTGGCTATGAAATATGAATCTTTCAATGAATTCAGACAGAATTATTTGGCAAAATCAGATTTACTAATGACAAAATAAAAAATAGAATAAAATTCCTGGTTTATCGTACTATTATCGAGCGACATGAACATTTTTATCATGAAAAACAAATCAAACAACAATGTTGTTGCTGTTGCTGTGATTGTTGTTGTTGTTGTTGTTTTGGTAGTTGTTTACTGTTTTTTTTTTTTTTTTGAAACATAATTCTTGTTATATTTCACTACTTATAATAATAAGTAAACAGACAAAAAGAAAAAAAAATTAAATGGAATTCTACACACCCCTAATGTGTGTTTTTTTTTGGGAGAGGGGCTGGTAGTGGTGGTGGTGGTGCTGTTGTTGTTGTTGCAGTGAAAAAAAAACCTTTATCCCTAGAGAAATGAATGATGAAAATTGATCGAATTTTTTTCTTTCATATTTTGTTTCGTCAATCGATCGATCGATCGATCGATGTGAACGAGATTGATTTTCCTATTTACCACACACACACACACACACACACATTACGCCACTCTCATTCATTCATTCATTCATTCAAACATAGTGTCTCTCTTGGGTCCGGTGACCTTTTTTTCCGCTACAAAATCATTCAAAGTTTGTCTATAGATATTTGTTGTTTTGTTGCCTGTCACATGCACACCACATAACACAAACAAACAAATACAATTCACACGACAATATTTATCTGATAATCGAAAGAAAAAGAAAAACAAAAAACAAAAAAAACAAAACAAGAACTGAATGATGATGATGATGGTGATAAAATTACGGTAAACAACAAAAATGGGATTTTATCTATAGAGTTTCAAGGGTGAAAAAAAGACAGGGTTTTTGAAATTTCATAAATTACAACAAACGAAATAATAAAGGATTCATCATCAACAACAATTTTTTTTCTGTTGTTGTTGTTGTTGTTGAAATATCTTCGATCAAAAAAAAAAAAAAAAAAATCTTGTTGCACATACACAGGCAATATTATTACCATCATCATCATCACCATGATTTTCAATGTTTCACATGTTAAACAACAACAACAACAAACAATTTTCTATAAACACACAATCAATATATAATTGAAGAAGAAACAAAAATATCCCTTGCCATAATTCTCTCCCCCCTTCCCTCCACTCCATCCCGATTCCATGCCATTGCCATCATCATCATATCAACAACGAATGAAAAAAGAGAGAGAGAGAGAGAGAACGATGGACTCAATAAATCCATATTTGGTAACTTTACCATCAACTTTTTTTTTTTTTACTTTGTTTCTTTGTCTCTTATATACTTACTTTATACGTATGTAATAATAATAATTTTCGTTTACATTTGTGCTTGTTTAATATTTATTATTTTTGCCAGTAAAATTAACAACACAATTTTAATTCCAACACATATAAACGATCAATCGAAAATGAATGCATCGAAAATAATTTTTCTGTTTGTTTGTTTCGAGGATGCATATATATGCACACAATAAAGAGACAAAAAAAAACACAACAGACTTATCAAATATCGACGACGACGACGACAACAACTAATTGATGATCAAATTGATTGAATTGTTGAAGAACTACACAAAAAACATTTATGGATTTTGAATTCAAGAAAAAAAAATGTAAACAAGGTACATTGATCTTAGCAAAAACAACAACAACAACATTGGTTCGAATGTTTGACAAAATACTATGCACCATTCATATAAGATGTTTCTAATGATGTGTGTTTGTGTGTAGGTGTGATTTCCGTTATTTAGTTAATTTTCATTCATTTTATGATTTAAGATTGAATTTTTCTCTCTCTCTTTTTCTTTTCAAAAAAAAACCTACAAAATGATAACAAGGTGATTGACTTTATTTTTTTTTACCATCGATAAAATAAATCATTACAATGATTAATGATCATCATTAACATTCATTGATTAATCGATTGATTGATTGATTAAAACGAATGATGGCCCAGAGATTTAGAAAATCTTTTGATTATCATGATGATGGTGGTGGTCGTTTAAAATGGCTTCAAGTAATAATAATCAAGAATCGATTTTTTGTGTGTGTGTACTGTGATTTCAAATAAAGGAAAAGAACTAAAATGTCCAAATTTGATTTATCGAAAAAACAACAACATGAAATAAATCGAATCATCATCAATCGATTGATGGTGATGCTTGAGGATAAAAATCGCAGCAGTAGCAGCAGCACTAGAAGTAGCAAAGACGAAATGAAGAACAAAAAAAAATTTGACATTGACAATCCAAGTCAAATAAAAAAAAAAAACAAAAACAAAAACGAATCGATCAAATCCAGATAACAAAACAAAACGAAACGAAAATGCAAACGCGAATGGAAAGGAGCAAAAAAAAAATTTAAAATTCAAAATAAAACAAAACAAAAAAACAATAGATGATGATGTGTGAATGACACATTCATATATTGATTTTGGTTTTTTCGGTTTTTGGTTTTGCTCTTCTTCTATTTTTTTTCTTCCTGCAATTTTTTTTCTGGTGTTTATTTGACAGTTTGATTTCCAGTGAATGTTGAGTACAGGAAAAAATCGAAACTTTTTTTTTCGTTTGAAAATTTTTTTTTTATTTGATGAAAAATGAATGAAAAACCAGAAATCAGAAATGTAGAGAAAAAAAATGGAAGAAATCAAAGAAAAAAAGAACGAATGATTTTCATTCGAAAAATGAAAAATTATTGTACGCCATATATGAATAATCGTTCTGTTTTTTTTTCTGATTCTAATCATCATAATTGTGATGATGATGATCCATTGGAATTGGAATTTCGTTTTTTGTTTTTTTTAATCAAATCTAAAAGAGAGAGAGAGAGACCGAGTGAGAGATTACTTTTTGTTATTTCATTATTTCTGGTTGATTTACGACAACAATAAAAATGATGATGATGATAAAAAATCTAGAATCCTCACCCCTCTCCCAAAAAAACTTGTCACAATCGTTTAGTTTGTCCATTTGTTTCACTATAGTTATATAAATGGAACGCTCGACTACAATAGATGATGATGATGACAGAATGAATTGATGTTCACCAAAAAAAAAAAAAAAAAATGAAATGTCATAAAATATGAAAAACAATGTTTTTTGTGTGTTCTTGGAACGATCCATTTCGGGTATCCATTTATGGGAAAGAATTTCAATCGATTTTGGCCATTAATGAATTGAGAAGAATAAAAAACAATCAATTTATTCATCAAAATAATTTGGTTGTTTTTCGTTTTTTTTGATTTTTACCACTATTTCTCTGGTTCCATTGTCATCATTGGACAATGATAACCGAAAAAATGGGAATAATTATCAATTTCTGTGCAAATGTAGTTTGTTTTTTTTTTTGTTGAACAATTCTCGAATTCTAATTTTCGTTTTTTAAACAGGCACTTAATTACATGGTGAGTTGTGTGTGTGTGTAAAGAGAAAAAAAAATTAATCAGAATTCATTGGCATAATATAGTAATACTATATGGGTGCGTGTGTGTTACATTTATGTGATTTTTACATATCTTCATCGAAAAAAGCTGAATCACGTTGACTACGATAATTGTAGGAATTTAGATTATTATTATTATGGTTATGATGATGGTGATGGTGATGGTGGCGAAGAAAATTATTCCGATGATGATGTTGTTGTTGTTGTTGCTGTTGAGCTTGTTGTGATTTGGACATGAATTTTAATCGTTGTTTAAGATTAACATATTGTTTTTTCATACGGAAAAATTTTTCATCTTTAAATTCAAAATTTTTATTGAATATAATACGTGAAAGTGTTTCACCGTCGATAGTATAATCATCATGATCATGATGATGATGATGATGATGATCATGTATGGCAGAATTTTGTTGTTGTTGTTGTTGCTCCAATCGGTTGTTTTGTTCATCATAAAAATCTAAATTACTATGACCATCGAATGAATCATTATCAGTAGTGTTTTCAAAATTAATATCACTAAGATCCCATTCTAAACTTGGAAGACTAGTGGTTATTTCACCATCCGAAACACGACGATGTAATGTATTGAAAAATTCAGCCGATTGTTGATTCTTCCGTAATTGACCACTACTACCGGTAAACCATCCAATTTCATTACATGAATCATTTACATACATTTTAATCTCTTGTACTTCATTTAACATTCCATCCAATTTAGCCACAGTACCGGTACCGATTGAATTTAGTGGTGAAAGATTTAATGATGAAAAATCATTTGAATTTTGTGGTGATAATGATTCCTGTTCTTCTTCATTATTATTATTCTGATTATTAAATATAACTTGATTACGAACAGAATTTGATGAACATTGATAATATTGATTCAAAACATTGGTTGTATTTGATTGATCAATGGTAAATGTTCCATCCAATAATGGACTAGTCGATGCTGATGCTGCTTCTGCTGCTGATGATGATGATGATGATGACCAGAATAAACTTGTAATACCATTTTGTATTAAATCTTTTGCCGATGACAATAATGAGATCAATGAATATGGATCTTCTTTTAAATAATTCCAATAAACAAATGATCCACAACAAAACAACACGAATGTTTTAGAGATGCTAACTATATATATAAATTTGTGATTAAAAATCAATTTTTAATAATCGATAAAACAAAATACCTTTATGAAGAATGGTACTATAAATCTGATAACCACAATTAGGACATGCAATACAAGATGCACGTGGTAAAGAAAATTCAAATGAAAACAATTCAAAACCTTTATTGAATGAATTCATTTTAGTCAATATTGAAATGATGATTTGAATTTGATCAAAATTGAATTTGATGTTTGGCCGATGATGATCAACAAACAAATGGATTTTTTTTTATCAAAATTGGGATGAATGATAATGCATGTTTATTTATATATATAGATGATGATCATAATGGATTTTTCTACAATAATCATAAACATTATGATGATGATAATCATTGAATAGAAACCATTTTTATAATGAAGAATTATTATTGCCAGTCATGGTCATGGCAAGTTTCAATTTTTTTTTTATTAAATTCACCTGATGGAACAATGAATACAATGGATAGAGTGTTTCCTTTTCATTTCTTTTTGTCGTTGTTGTTGTTGGCCTAAATCCTTTTTCAAACAGAAAAAACCAACAAACCAACCAACCAAGTAATAATATTTATGGAAATGGTGTTTTTTATTGAATCAAACATTTATTGAGAATATCAACTCGATTGCAATATTTTGATTGTCTGCTGCTTGTTGTTGTTGTTGTTGTTGCTGTTTTTGTTTTGTTTTGAATGTCAATCAAATTGTTGTATTATTATAATCAAGAATTTCAAAATTCATATGGATCGCCTGCTGCCATCTAATGTCTGTCATTATAATCAGTTGAAAAATGTGAACCACCGTAAAAATATGATAATGTGCAACCACTATAAGTTGATCAATCCTTTGTTGATCAATTTGATTGTGGAAGTGAATAAATGGTTTTAGAAGATTTTTTTGTTGAATTTAACATCGTTTGAATTTAACGTCACTTATTTGGTTTGGCAAGAAAAACTCATGGAAAAAACGTGGACTTGTTTATGGCCTATGATAATACAGAGAAGAATTTTCTACTCGATCACTGCTTTTGATCAAGGACGGTGATAAGGTTACTTTTTGCTATCATCAACTTCCAAGGACAGACATAAGAAAGTAGTGGAAGGATCACTTTTGACACTAGGTCTACGTGACAAGTGACAGGTTATCAACAAGTGTATTATCCAAAATCATATGAAAAACCATGCCAAACTAACGTTCGACAACTTATTTGCTTGCTGGTCGTCATTATTCAACCACCAATCATTACGATTTTGTTCCTTAACCTCGAATTATTCATCTCTAAATTGAGTAAGTCACAGATACCTGAAATAATTGAAATATTAAATTAATTTTGATTATTTATTAACAACATTTTTCGACAGAAAATAATCATGTCTGAAAGTAGTTCATCGTCAAAAAAATTAAATGAAGCCAGATGTCCAATTTGCAATTTTCGACTACGTAGTTGTTCTAATGTGGACAGGAAATTAATCAAATCTCAAGAGGATATTGACAAAGTGTTACGATTAATGAATAAGCCCGTGGAAATCGGTGATATTCTCTGTGCCAAATGTAATAAAAAACTTTGTACACAAATCAGTTTGGAAAAAAAACAGCTTCTTTCTGATCCTGAACCATGCATTTCTTCAATGTGTGCGGACATTTCAGAACGCTTTGAATCAACTTTGTTCATCAGTGATTTTTCTTCAACTACAATCAATAATCAATCAATTTTGGCAGATCCAACTTATGAATATACACCAATAGTAAAGGAAATGATCGAAATGCCGTTTAGTCGACCAATAATCAGCCATTGTTACTGCTTCATTTGTTCATCAAAAAGTGATTTGAAAGATATCCCCATTGAAGCAAGATTACAAGTTTTTTTGAAGCGAAGAATTTTGGTGCCAAAAAGAAATCGGTGTTGCAAGCAACATTTAATGAATGGATGGCTTAATGAAGATGAAATCAACAATATCATAATCGAGTCTGATAAATGTGAAATCGAACTATCTGATATAGCGAAATTTATGGACTTATTAGCATCCAATTCTTTAAATATTAAAGACAAAATAAATAAGCGTTTGATGCCACAATGTCAGCTTTATGCTCTTACTGCTCATAGCTGGGAAGATATTGATCATCTACAAAGTCTTATGACATACATGAAAAACACCAATAAACGATCGGTCATTCAAGCTATAGTGACATTTCTCTGCAAATTAAGGACCGGAAATGTTAATAAAGTTATTGCTGTATTTTCGGGTATGGATTCAGAAAAAATGGTAGGATCCAATATTGATTCCGTGATAAAATCTTTTGAAGTAGATATTTTGCCATATCGATTTGGATATCAATCGATTACCAGAGATTTTCTCATCAACGAGAGAACATCACCTGTGGTGAAAAACTTATTGGATTGTCAAAATAATCTTATAATTATTTGTGATGGAACTTATAATTTATACCAAAAGAATTCATATTCTGGAAACAAGAAAACTACATTATGTAAGCTTTTCACCATATGCACTACCGATGGATTCATTATCGATGTTCCTGGCCCGTACAATGTAAATGAAAACAATGCAACTATCTTGAACGAGATACTCAACCAAAATAATGGTTTATCTGTGTTACTGCAGCCTGGTGATTATTTTGTTCTGGATAATGGATTCCGTGATGTGGTACCGATTCTAAAAAAACGTGGCTTCAATGTAATGATTCCCAATTTGGAAGAAAAAAACATAGAACCAACCAATGATTCGAGATTGGCCACAAAAATCCATTGGGTCGTCAAAGCTGTACATGCAGAGATTGGACAGAAATATAAACTACTACACAACCAGTTTGAAAATAAATCCTTACCAAGAATAGCAGCTTATTGTCGAATTGCTTTCTTTCTTCATAATGAATTTGGCCAAAAATTCAATTTTGATTCCGGAAATATGGAATAAACGAATAATCAGCTTTCACATTCATAATTAGAAAAAAAACTGTCATCATTTTTTTTAAATTAATCATAATCATGGTTTTGTTAATATTATAATAATATAAATCAATGAAATAATAATTGAAATTAAGAATTTGAAAATTAAGTATCAATCAGATATCAATACAAAAATACAGCCATCTTAATAATTCCTGTATACTAGGGTTTGCAAATTCCCGAAAAAATTGGAACCGGTTCCGCCTGCTGCCATCTAATGTCTGTCATTATAACCAGTTGAAAAAATGTGAACCACCATAAAAATATGAAAATATGCAACCATTCTAATAGTTACAGATACAGCATGGAAAAACTTATTTATGGCCTAGGATAATACAGAGAAGAATTTTCTACTCAATCGCTACATTTGATCAAGGTGACGGTGATAAGGTTTGTTATCATAAACTTCCAAGGACAAACATAAGAAAGTAGTGGAAGGATCGCTTTTGACCTATAGGTCTACGTAACAAGTGACAGCTAGCTAGCTGGTTATCCACGAGTGTGTTATCCAAAATCATATGAAAAACCATGCCAAACTAACGTTCGACAACTTATTTGCTTGCTGGTCGTCATTATTCAACCACCAATCATTACGATTTTGTTCCTTAACCTCGAATTTTTCATCTCTAAATTGAGTAAGTCACAGATACCTGAAATAATTGAAATATTAAATTAATTTTAATTATTTATTAACAACATTTTTCGACAGAAAATAATCATGTCTGAAAGTAGCTTATCGTCAAGACAAAGAGATGAAACCAGATGTCCAATTTGCAGTTTTCGATTACGTAATTGTTCTAATGTGGGAAGGAAATTAATCAAATCTCAAGAGGAAGTTCACAAAGTTTTGCGATCACTGAATAAACGTGTGGAAATTGGTGATACCCTCTGTTCCAAATGTGGCAAACGTATTTATAACAAAACCAGTCCAGAAAAAAAACAGCTTCTTCCTGATCCTGAACCATGCAGTTCTTCAATGTTGATGGACAATTCCGAACACTTTACATCAACTTTATCCATCGATGATTCTATTTCAACTATAATTGATGATCAATCACAATCAATAATGGTAGATCCAACTCTTGAATATACACAAATAGAAAAGGATGTGATTGAAATGCCGTTTAGTCGTCCGATAATCAGTCATAGTCGCTGCTTCATTTGTCCATCAACAAGTAATTTGAAAAATATTCCTATTGAAGCAAGATTACAAGTTTTTTTGAAGCGGAAAATTTTCGTACCAAAAACAAATCGGTGTTGTATGCATCATTTAATGAATGGATGGCTTAATGAAGATGAAATCAACAATATCAAAATCGAGTCTGATAAATGTGAAATCGAACTATCTGATATTGCGAAATTTATGGACTTATTAGCATCCAATTCTTTAAATATTAAAGACAAAATAAATAAGCGTTTGATGCCACAATGTCAGCTTTATGCTCTTACTGCTCATAGCTGGGAAGATATTGATCATCTACAAAGTCTTATAACATCTATGAGAAACACCAGTAAACGAACTGTTATTCAAGCTATAGTGACATTTCTCTGCAAATTAAGGACCGGAAATGCTAATAGAGTTATTGCTGCATTTGCTGGTTTGGATTCGGAAAGACAAGCACAATCATATATCGATTCTGTGATAAAATCTTTTGAAGATGATATTTTACCAAATCAATTTGGATATCAATCGATTACCAGAGATTTTCTCATCAACGAGAGAACATCACCTGTGGTGAAAAACTTATTGGATTGTCAAAATAATCTTATAATTATTTGTGATGGAACTTATAATTTATATCAAAAGAATTCATATTCTGGAAACAAGAAAACTACATTATGTAAGCTTTTCACCATATGCACTACCGATGGATTCATTATCGATGTTCCTGGCCCGTACAATGTAAATGAAAACAATGCAACTATCTTGAACGAGATACTCAACCAAAATGATGGTTTATCTGTGTTACTGCAGCCTGGTGATTATTTTGTTCTGGATAATGGATTCCGTGATGTGGTATCGATTCTAAAAAAACGTGGTTTCAATGTACTGATTCCCAATTTGGAAGAAAAAAACATAGAACCAACCAATGATTCGAAATTGATCACAAAAATCCGTTGGGTCGTCAAAGCTGTACATGCAGAGATTGGACAGAAATATAAACTACTACACAACCAGTTTGAAAATAAATCCTTACCAAAAATAGCAGCTTATTGTCGAATTGCTTTCTTTCTTCATAATGAATTTGGCCAAAAATTCAATTTTGATTCCGAAAACCAGCTTTCACATTCATATTTAAATGAGATTGAATCATAATTAGAAAAAAAACTGTCATCATTTTTTTTTAATTAATCATAATCATAATTTTGTTAATATTATAATAATAAAATCAATGAAATAATAATTGAAATTAAGAATTTGAAAATTAAGTATCAATTCAGATATCAATACAAAAATACAACCATCTTAATAATTCGTGTATACTGTGTGTGTGTGTGTGTGTGTGGTTTGTTTGTTTTTTGGTATGTTCATCTCGAATTTTTTCATTCATTTTATTTTTGAGATCTTTTCATTTTTTTTTGTTTGTTTGAAAATAATTCAAGAGATGAGATAAATTTTTCTTGTTTCTTTTTCGTCGTACAGTGTGTGTGTGTGGGTGTATGTGTTTGGGTGTGTGTGTGATTGTTATTTGTAAAAATTATCAAATTTTTTTTTTCATTTATTTTGCTCACCCAATCAGGATGAGCGTATCATCATCATAATGAATTGTGAAGAAATGAGAAATATATATGTGTGGGAGTGTTAAATTTGCAAGAGCAGGAAGAAAAAAAAAATAAAATGAGAAAAAAAAAATTGGATACAAGATGTAAATGAGAGAGCAAGAAAAGAGAGAGAGAGAGAGAGAGATGCCATTATAGTTGTTGGTTTTTTTTTTTTTGATGAATATATGTCTCTGTGTATGTGAATTGAATATTTATAAAAAAAAAAATTTCCATTATTATGGTCATTCAAGTACAAATGAAAAAAAAAATGATGATGATGATGATGATGATATTTGAAATTCATGCTGCTTGATCATAGATATATATGAATTATGTGTGTAAGTATGGGTGTTGGCCCAATTAGGACTTGTCGAGTTTAAAATTGAGGTAAATTGTGAACAAAACAGAAGAAGAAGAAAAAAAATATTTACAACATTAAACATAGAAAAATGAGAGGAAAAATATATAAATGAAAGGGACAGCGGTGGAGGAAAATGGGAAAAATTTTTTTTTCTGTAATGGAATGTATTTTGTTGTCATCATCTAAATTATTATTATTATTATTATTGGCAGAGATTGGATCAATTGATTGATTGATTGATTAATTGAATAATAAAAACATTTACAAATGAAAAAAATTCATCAATTTCCATCAACATACAGAGAATTTTTTACACACGGCACACATAAACACATTCACATTCATACAAACATTCATTTTTTTTTTTTCTTCGTTTCTATCTATTTATATATAGAGAGAGATAAAGGCACAAAATGTCCTTTAGCGCTAAGAATCATCATTATTTTTAAATATATATCACTATTATCAATTTATGATGATGAATGGCTATAAATTTTTTTTTCGGCTATGAAATATAAATACTTGTATTTTGTTTTTGTATTATGAGTAAATGTTTTTGTTGTTGTTGATGTTGTTGTTGTTGTTGTTGAATATTGATTAGATCGGAGTGTTAAACAATTCTTTCCAACGTGATTCAAAAAATGCACGTAATAAATGGCCAGCTTGACCGACTGGTGATTCATCTTCATTGAATGTAACACAATTGTCAAACATTAATCGTATGTCGGCAGCATAATCTTCTTTGGTTTTATAACTAAAAGAAAAAAAACGCGTGTGATGTTCATGAAAAATAATTTTTCATTAAATTCATCTAAAACAACTTACCTATTATTTTGTAATTTATTTTTAATAAGTGTAAAATCCATTGGTTTTTTGATAATCTTACGATATGTTGGAAAATGTTTCGTATTAACTGGTTCCAAAAATGGCCAACTAGTTTCATGTTTCATAATTTCATCGGTAATTTGTTTACATAAAGCAATTTCATCATTCTTTATTGATGATGAATTGGTAGCCAAAGATTGTTGTTGTTGTTGTTCCATTGTTCCAGCCATATTATTACCATTGTTATTGGCATTTGAATTATTACTACATTCTTTTTCCATTGATTTTTTATTGCTCATTTTTTCATTTTTTTCAGATTTTTCTTTCTCTAAATGATGATCTTCATCCTTATCTTTATTGTCTTTATTATCTTTTTCTTTGTCTTGTTTCTTTTTTGGTTTTCGTTCTTTTTTGTTGGCCGTTTCTTTTTCTCCTTTATCTTTGGCATTTCCATTCGACATTCGTTTACTACTGGATTCTCTTGTATTTGAATTATTTCCCATAATGTTTGAATCATGATTTCTATCATCATTTGCTGATGATGATTCTTTTGATGATGATTTTTTCGATGATTTAGAACTGGAATTTCGTTTATTCTTACGCATACACATATGACAAATCCATCTGCCTTTGATTTGTCTATATAAAATGATAAAAAAAAATAATTAATTTATTTATTGATAAATCTAAAATGTTGCACTCACTTGTTGACAGGTGGATCAATACAGTTCGGATGAAATGCTTTGGCACAGGTGTCACAATTTAGTAGTTTGCCTTTTTTACCACAAACAATGCAAACCTTATCAATGGTATTCTATATTATCGTGAATGAACGAGAATAAAAACAAAAAGAAAAAAACAAAACGTTACCATCATTGATGTGTGAGTAAATCAGATTGCGAAAAATTACTTTATTTTGACAGTCATAGCAAAACCAGTCGCCTGCAGGAACAGTTTCCATCTTAGGCTTGAAACAATACATATGGTACCCTTTGTCGCATAAGTCACACAAAAGTAGCTGGGCTTCATTTTCACCCGAGCCACAAAATTGGCAACTCTATCAATCATCATCATTTAGTTTATTTTTTTTTTTTTTTTGGTTTCGATATGTTTTTTATATTGTTATCAATTTTGTTTTTTTTTTAGGGAATTGAAAGCAACGGTCGCAGACATCATTCACAATCATTTCATTCATTCAAAGCGATATATTGCAATTAATTAGCATTTTGTTTCAGAAAATTCAAGAAAAAAAAGAGAGAGAGAGAGAGAGAGAGACAAGAATGTTAAAAAAAAACTTTGCCTTATAAATAATTTAAAAAGAAAGCTTTTTTTCGAAGCTAATTTTTTTTTGTTGTTGTTGTTTACATAAAAACATAAAACTTACCGCTCTCATTATGGATTTATCCCAAGCGATACAATTTTCAAGAAAATGTAGACCCATTGCAATCTGTGAACAACATTTGGCTTCACGTGCTGCATCACGCCAACGTATTAAACCAGCAGTAGCATTATCATCGTTTGCATATTCATTATAATCATCACCACCATTACCATTGTCGGTAGTGAATTGAAGAGCTTGATTGTTTTTGAAACCTAATGGTGGTTTTAGATAACGTCGTTCAATGGTTGCTTCAATTTCCAATAATTTTTCTTTCTGTACCCTTAACAAATCATAATCACCATTATTTTCAGTACTAATCACTAGTGTACAACCATTTGTACCATTCTCTTGAATAGAATCATTACTACAATCACTGTTTTCATTGTGATTATTATTATTTTTATGATTTTTTCGATTTTTACCATTTTTATTCGTTTTGGATGATTTATTTTGATTCAATTTGGATTTAAAATCTGCACTAGATAACTTGTTTGATGGTTTCCAGTTACGAATCTGCATACTGCAGGATAGAATTTTTTCTTCAAATGCTTCAATCAATTCAAGTACTTGAAGATCTTTTCTCAAGGCCACTTCATGACAATAATTTTTACCCATACATGACCGATGTGGGCAACGATTTTCTGTTGGTGCACCAAATTCTCTCCAATCAGAAGCATCACGATCATAATCACTAACATCTAGATTGGCTATAGAATTTCTACACGATATTGTTGCATAATTCAAATGTTTAATCAGATGTTTTTGTAAATTCTTTTCACGTAATGCATTCGAATGTAGTAATTCAATCATTGATTTAAGTTGAGCACCATCGGTAATACGCCACCATCCAAATTGATATTCACGTGGAACTTTACGCGGTGTTTCATATTGTAACACTTTCCATAATTGAATTCGTTTTTGTAATGTTGGACAAACAATTATGTCTGTTTCGATAACTTCACTATTGGGAAATTTAGTAATAGTAGCACTACGTGCAAATGATGATAATATTCGTAGTAAACAATCTTTGAGTATGGCACAATCGATATTCATTTCGGTCCTTTTGAATAGACAATCCAATGTATCTTGAGACATGAACGTTGTTAATGCTCTATCCATTTCACTCATTGGTTCTTCTTTGATCTCAGCAATTTCTTCTTCTTCTTCATCATCATCTTCTTCTTCTTTTTTGTTTTCCTGATTCTGATCATCTTTTTCTTGTTCATTCGTTTCTTTTTCTTCTGCTGTTTCTTCATCATCTTTTTCTTTCACTGTTGTTGATTCATCAATGATCGGCGGCTGTTCAACTGATTGATCACATTCAAAATCAAGATCTAAATCAAACCATCTTACATCATCAACAGTTATATGGTCAATTTGTTGTGCATTGTTAACATCGATTTGTTCAGATTCAGAGAGCTCATCTTTCTTATCCATTTGATTGGTGGTTGTCATTTCATTTTCATTTGATTCGGTTTTGAGTGCATCATCTTTTTCCATTTTTGGTTCCATTTCTGGTTTAACCTGTTGACCATCAACAATTGGTTTTTTCTCATCATCAGTAGATGGTACATCTTTATAAGCATTATCTCGATCATCATTTTCTTCTTTTATAGACATTGTATCGGTTTGTTCGACATCATTATCACCATTCATTGATTGTTTATCCAATTCGGATTTGATTTCACCATCACCAGTGGTCAGATCTTCCATTGGTTCATCATTGATGGCATTTTTCAATGCATTTTCCATTTCAATTTCTTCCTCTGTCCAAACATTGTTGGCCAATTCTTCTGGTTCACCGGATTCCATGCCTTCGACAAAAACACCACCACAATTTGGTAGAACCCAATAAGTACGTCGATATCGATCCTGACCCAATGGGAACACACGATATGCATTTAAAGCTTTGTGCATTTTATTATTCATCTGATTGCATTGTTTGTTTAACCTTTCAATTTTTTTATCAATTTCTTCATTAGTCATATTTACATCGTCATCAAATTCGATTGGAGGTAAATTGATTGTCGTCACTGAATTGGATAAAGTAGCAGCACTGACATTTGTATTGCTTTCATCATTATCACTGATCACAGTGCTATTTTCGCCGGTTCCTGTTGTATTCTCACCGGTATTGGTAACATTGTTTTCACCACCATTTTCAGCCATTGTTGTTGCCGATTGATTCGTATTGGCATTATCTTTTTCCTGTTGTAATAACAATTGTTTGGCTTTCTCTTCTTCAATGATTCGTTCACGTCGCATTTTAACCAGGCGAAATTTTCGTATATCATTTTCAATACCCCATTTATCTTTTTTAAATACAGTAACACTTTCGATACTATCATCGATTTGTTTAACAATGGCCTGATTACATAATAGTTCATTACAGAGAAAAACTAAAATGTCCAATTTGACAATAGCATCAAGAGCAATAAATGATATGCCACTACAAAGTCTTTCATGGATTTTGCATTCAACACGATTTGGTTCATCTTCTTCACGAACAGCATTACTGAAGGCCAAAAAATATAATCGTAAAATTTCCGTCACATTATGTTCAGTTACAGTGGCATCTTTTAGTTTTTGTCCCATCAAAGTTGTCATATTATTCGGCATACCAGGATCTTCGATAGCACAGATAACCAAATGATTTACGATAGACATTAATTCTTCTTCAGCTTCGCTATCCAAATTTAACAAGGCCATCATTAATGAATTTAACGTTGGCAAGCTATCAACATCGAATCCAATTGTTTCGCCAAAATTGTAAAGAAATTCATAGACCATTAATAAATCGGCGAATGCTTTACCAGTTAATTTTTGACCAGGTATCCGATTGAATATTGGTAAATTTTTATGATCTTTCAACATCATATCTTCGACCGGTTTTTTCAACTCCTTCAATAATTCTACCTCCAACACACGTTTTAATAGTTTCCGTTCTTGAAGTGCTACTTTTTCCGAACTAAGCTCTTCTTTTTTCGAATCGCGATCTTCAGATGATTTCAATTCATTCAATGCATGTATAAACATTTGATGTTGACTAACACGTTCATGTTCAATTTCGGCCGATATTTTTAATTGTTCTTGCTTCTGTAATTCCAAAAGCTTTTCCTGGTTTTCTTTTATCTGAAAACAAAAACCAATTTTATCCATATGAAAATCTTCAAACTATAGACTACTACTATTACTAAACCTTTCGTAATTCTTCTTCTTCTTTTTCTTTTAATTCTCGTTGTTTTCGTTCAAGCTTTGTGGTAGGTAGAAACAAAAAAAAAAATAAACCAGAAAATTAAACATTTTGAGCATTATAAATATAGAAGAAAAAAAATCAACACTTACTTCTTCTTGTTGTTTTTTTAATAATTTTTCATTTCTTGCTGTTTCATGTCGTTCAGTAGATTTACGTTTAGTACCTCTTATCGGTGCTGGTGTTACCATCGGATTCTGTATTGTTATCGTAACCGATGGTTCAAGTTCATTATTTTTAATATCATTATTTTGATGATGAACAACAGCTGCCGTTTTACTTCTAGTATTAAATCCTTTGATTGAATCATAAACATTTCTTGTACCACCACTATCACGAACACGTTTCTTTTTCTCTGGAATAATATGATTACTACTACTATATTATTCTGATTTGATTGTGCAATCGTTTGCTGTGGAGGTACGGCTGTTATACTGGTAGCAGATAGATCCAAATTTCGTATCTTGCTCAATTCTTCCAGATGAACTTTCATCTGATTTTCACTCAATATGACCTGAAAGCAAACAGAAACAAAAAAAAAATTATATTCAAATCCCAATTGTTCATGAATTGTATTTTTTTTTCTTTAAAAAGACTTACATCACTTGGTAATTGTGCAATATTTGGAATGAATTGGCCAATGATTACATTGGGATCAAAGCTAAAATTTTCACGACTTAAATTGACCACATTATTTTTGCTTAAATACTATTGAACATCATCAAAGAAAACAAAACAGAAAAATTATTTCGACAAAAAAAAACCTGAAAAACAGTACCTTTATTAAATCTTGATAGCTTTTTATCTTCTTTTTACATGGTGCAATATAAATAACATCACCTTCAATTGTTCCCGATTTAGAAAATCCCGTAATATAAGTGAAACGTTGAAATCTAGAATTTTTTTTAGAATTAGAAATGATTAAAATTAATTTAATTAAACTTACCCATGATTCAAAGAAATACGTAGCTGTTTATCGCTTGAATTCGATTTATGAGCAAATGAACTTTTATTCATCGAAGTGTTGCTACCACCGGATTGATCACCAATTAGATTCTTGGCCACAGCAGCAGGTAATGATGAAAGAAAATTGGCCTGCATTTGATCATTTAGCTCTTTTTGTAGCAATAAAGCCGGATCAACAAATTTCGATGATGATGATGATGATGATGAGGAAGCTGATGAATGTTTATTATTAACAATGTCATTACTATTTGCTGTTACTGCAGCTGCTGCTGCAGCCAATTCCATTGGATTCTTTAGATTGGCAAATAGATTTGCATTCAATAGATTTGGATTAAGTTTCTGTAGAATGCTAAACTGATTGACAGCATTATTGAATAATTGGTGATTAGCCAATTGACCACCACCAGCAAGTGCAGCCGCTGCCGCCAACGATAGAGCATTGAGACCAGGAAAATTCGGTATGATTCCATCATTCGCCGCAGGAGTATTAAACAAATTGAATGGATAAGTATTTTGATGAAAGGCACTGGTAGCTTGTTGATTGGTAGCTAATTTTGAATTAGCCAAACTATTCTGATGGGCATTGTGTGGTGGTGATAATGTAGGCGGACGGCCACGTTTTCGTGGCTGCTGCTGCTGTTGTTGTTGTTGTTGCTGAAGATGGGCTTGTTGTTGATTGAATGCAGCCAATAAATTACCGAAACCGGAAAAATCCGGTAACGGCAATGTTGGCGGCGTCTGCTGCTGCTGTAATAATGGCTGATGATGCGTTTGTGTTGGATGTGGCTGTGGATCGCCATATGCCATCAATGTTGATTTCGGTTTTCTTCCACGTTTCTTTTGTTGTTGTTGAGGCTGTTGATGTTGTTGTTGTTGTTGCGATAGCAGACTGTTATTGAATTGTAATTGTTGTTGAGAATTTTGTTGTTGCTGTAATTGGGCTAGATTTTTGACTAAATTCAGTGTATGAGAATCTGGTTGTTGTAATTGTTGTTGTTGTTGATGATGATGGTGTTGATGGTGAAGATGTAATTTATTATTATTGCTACCAAAATTGTTATGCTGCAATGATGAGACATTATTATTATTATTACTATTATTTGAAGACAATGACGATGACGATGTCGATGATGATGATGATGATGATTTTTTTACACATAAATTTAAAGGAATTGAAGAATCATCTTCATTGGAATTATTATTATTATTTTTATTACTATTATTGGCCGTTGTTTTTGTTGTCAATGCAATTGGCATTGGTGATTGTTTTGTTGATAGATTCATTATATTGTCAATTTTAATCAATTCTTTTATATTGTCACTGACAATTGTTTTTGTATTTGTTGTTGTTGTTGTTAATGTCGTAGTAGTTGTTGTTGTTGTTGATGATGATGAAGTTCCAATAGAATTTATATCATTACCAATAATAAAATTATTTAAATTTGATGAATTTGATAGAAATAATGAATTATTTTGATCCAAATTTGTTGTAGCCGTTAAATTATTATGTTGATGATGATGGTGTTGTTGTTGTTGTTGTTGATTTAATAACAATGCAGCCACAACTTGTATAGGTAATGATTCTAATATTGAATCTTCTTGTTGTTGTTGTTGTTGTAAAAGTAATTCTTGTTTTTTTGATTTTCTTTTATTACGACCACTGTTACTATTATTATTTATCAGTCCATCACTATTTTTATTATTACGATTGACTCGATTTTTCATTGAACTTCGGTTATTATTTCGTTGTTGTTGTTGTTGTTGTTGTGGTGTTGTTTTTGTTTTCGTTGTGTTTTTCTTTTTGTAGATTTCTTTGTATCATTAATAATTGATGATAAATACTGATCATTTTGTACAGAATTCGGTCTGTAAAAGTAGAAGAAAAAAAAAAAATTAATTTAAAAAAAATTTTACAAATTCAATTTACTTGTTATTATTTAAAATGATGATGATGATGATGATGATATTGGAAGAAAAAATTCGAATGTTTCATTATTATTATTATTATTCAAATTTGAATGATTTTGTAATGCATTCGATGATGATGCTAATGGTGTTGGTGATAATTCTTTCAATAAATGTTCATATAAAATTGAACGTTTTACTGATTGATGTGATGATGATGATGATGATGATGGTGATGGCGATAAAAATTTGGAAGTTGAATTATTATTATTCTTATATGAAAAAGTGGAGGACGGCGATAATGTTGTAATTGGTTGTTGTTGTTGTTGTTGTGCTATATTATTGGTAAATAAATTCGTTGAACAATAATATGATGGTAATGGTAATGATGATGATGACAACAAAAACGAAGACGTTGTTGTTGTTGTTGTTATTGATGATGATAATGAGGGCGGAGGTTGTTGAATATTTTTCACTATTTCTGCTGCAGTTGTTGTTGTTGTTGTTGTTGTTGTTGATGATGTTATGGATGATGATGATGATGATGCTATTACATTTACAGCCAAATCATTTCCAACATCATCATCATCATCATCATATTATTATTATTATTTGTAAAACTTGTGGTGGTAGTGCTGACTAGACTTGAATGATCTTTTTGTTGTCGTTGTTGTTGTTGTGGTTTCGTTGCTGATTATGATTATGATTATTGTGATGAAAACTTTGGTCTTGTGTTTTGATATTATTATTATTTATATGATTATCAAATGATGATGATGATGACGAAGAATCCGATGTCACAACAATATTTTGATTATAATGATTTTGTTGCTGTTGTTGTTCAATTATATCGGTGATATTTTCGGTAGCAGTGGTGATGGTGGTGGTGGTGGTCGCCGCTTCACTCACATTGCCATCCAATACTGATTGGCCAAACACTTGAATGATTTTGATTGGAAAAAAATAAAATAAGAAAATAGAATTAATATATATATTTAGCTGATGATTACAGACAAACAAAAGAAAAAAAAACAACAAAATGAAAAAACCAAGGAAAATGTTCGAATTTTTTTTTTTGTTCTAATCTTCAAGTCCGTGCACAATCATCAACAACACTCACTTGGTGAAAAATTTTTTATTTTTATATTTTTGAATTATTTTTTTTCTGTTATTTTTGAATACAAAATTTTTTTTTTTTTTATTTTTCCACAATTGTGTCCAAAACGATTCGAATTTGATGATATTCGAGATGTGATTCTGAGTCTGTGTGTGTATGTGTGTGTGTGTGTTGTGATGAAAGACGAATTTTTTTTGTCGATTTCTAGATAGAAAGAGAGAGAGAGAGAGAGAAACTTTTGGATAATTTGAAAAGAATAATAGAAGTAGAAGAAAGACAAATAGACATAGAAAGAGTTATTAGTGAAAATGAAATTCTATTTGAAATATAAATGGATTTCAGGTAAAATTAATGGTGGTGACGGTGTGTATATTCACGTGTGAGTGTTTGGTATAGGAAATGATAAATCATATGGATGGATTCAAATCAATATTCTACTATATGGGTTTTAATCAATCAGAACAAAAAAAAAAAAAAAATGGGACACACACACACGAACATATACCGGTAAGATTTTTAATCAATAAATCAAATTACTTACCTTACATTAAAAAATATATGTCGACAAATGATGATAAATTGTACCAATTGTATTAATTTCAATCAATTTTAATCTATTTTATAAACCAAGAAAAAAAAGAATAAAGAAATTCATAAAATTAGACAAAAAAAAATATTCATTCAATGATGAAATATATAGAATATAGAATTTGTAACAACAACAACAACAACAAAAAACGCTAGCACACTAACACACACACATATACAACATTTGAAACGTTGAAATTGCGTAAAACTCCTAGATAAATGAAATAAAGATGATTCATAAATGAAACTCAAAAAAAAATGAAACACTTTTCACATACACACACAATAATAATGAAATGATGATAATGATGATGATGATATATACTCTTCACATTCATATACACACACACACACACACATAAATATATAACTAATATAATAATAGGTGGTCTATCACAACAACAACAACAACAACAACTATTTGGGACCACAAAACGCGCTCTCAGATCCAACAACAACAACAACAAACAAACAAACAACGACAATAACATCAGAAGAAATGTGAAGAAAAAAAATAGATAGATAGAGAGAGAGAGAGAGAGAAAGGGAGGAAAGAATACTTTGAGTTTGTGAAATAGGGAAATAGAGGGATAGAGAGAGAGAGAGAGAAAAAAAAAAGCAATAGGCTCATCATCATCATCATCAACGACAACATCCAGCAAGCAGCCATCATTGATTGAGCTAAACACACACACACACACACACACACAAACATACAGATTTTTTTTTATTGAATGTATAAATAATGAAAAAAAAATCATAACATAAAAATGGCTCAATTGAAAGATGAAAAAAAAAATTTTCTTAGGCTCCCATATTTGCCGCGAAAGAATTCTTCATATCCATCACACACACACACACTTTGCATACATATAAAATCATCATTATATATCCAAAAGATGAATAAAACCAAAGAATTGGCTAGAAATTTTGAATGAAAAATAAAAAATGAAACTCGATTGGAAAAATTGTGTTTTTTTTTGAAATCCAAAAAAAAACACATCTCATCATTGATATATACGATTAGATTTAAGAATGAAACAATTTCATCATCATCATCAATGTTGTTCTCGTTGAATCAAAATTGACATATGATTGACAAACAAGATGATGAGAAAAAAAAATTTTTGTTAAAAGGAAAAATCCCTATACATTATTACAATAAATGACAAACAAACAGATGAATGAATGAATGAATGAATGGATGGATGGATATGATAAATATTTCGTCGTATAGTAAGATTGATATGATTTTTATTATGATGATAATGATGATGATGATGATAAGAAATATTTATCACTAATATGATGATGATGGTGAATGATACAAATTTTTTTTTCTTGTGATTTTTTTTTGGATTGAATCGATTGAAGAGAAATAAAAAAATTTATTACAACCAATCAAGGTCGTCGTACGTATGTGTCTAATCACACACAAACACACACACACACAGCAATCTTCGTCATCAGCAAGGTTTTTTTCTGAATTAGTGGAAAGAATCCATGGCCATGTTTAATTGATGACATTGAACTTTGCCGGCTGTGTGATGATGATGATCATACACACATATATACACACACTTTTTTCACTCACTAAAACAACACGTGTAGATTTCTTATTAATAAAAAAGTAAATAACAGCGGCAAGACATTTAAATGTATCCAAAATATATTTTTAAATGGATATGAATCAGTAGGAATTACACAAAAAAAACAGAATTTCAAAAACAGATCCAGAAAAAGAAAATGAAAAGTATCTGGATCTTGACAAATCAAACAACAACAACAACAATAACAAAAGAAATGAGCAGCTTGATCAAGATATAAGAGATGAATTGACGAACGAAAAAAAAATGAGAAAGAATCAATGTTTTGAGTGTGTGTGTATGTATAGTATGTATTTGGATTTCATTTTGATTTTTTTTTCATCATCATCATCATCATCTAGCAAATGTTGAATCATACTACATACATACATTAATGCTACTATGAAATGAGACATACACACACACACACACATAATATGAATATAGACACTGTGTGTGTGTGTGTGTGTCTGTAAAAGAATGAAATAAAATTGTTTTATGGATAGAGGATAGTAGGATGATGATGATGATGATGATGATGAAAAGACGAAAGAAATACATACAGAAAAGAAAAATAGAAAAAAAAATCCAAACCCAAACACGATGATGATGATGATGATAAAAAAGTTGAGCGCCCGATTCACAATACAAACACACACACACACACACACCAAACCAAACAAACAAATGAATGAAACAAGATGAGAGTGTGAGAGAGAGAGAGAGAGAAAAGGACCAAAATGAAACACAAAACAAAATAACGAAAAAGAAAAAAAAATTGGAACTGAACACCACTGAATGAATTGAATGAATTGAACGACCAAATAGTGAAAAAAAAACCGATCAACGAATAACAACAACAACAACAGGACATTTGGTTCAGTAAAAAAAAAAAAAATGAAAAATATGAAAGAAAGAAAGAAAGAAAAGTTCATGTATCTTTGAAATGCTGTTGTTGTTGTTGTTGTTATTATTATTATTGTTGGTTGGTATGTCAGGCTGTGTGTGTGTGTTCAGTGGTGTTTTTTTTTTATTATTCGGGTGATGGTATTGGTATATAATGGTAATATGTTATTTTTTTTTGTCGTCATCATCATCATCATCATCATAGTGGTGGTGGTAGTAGGTTTTTTTTCATTTCTTTCTCTCTCTCTCTCCAATTTGGTCTGGTTTTTTTTCTGATGATGAAGAAAATTGCAATACCGGAGAAATAGAGAGAGAGAGAGAGAGATGGATAGATAGATCCAACTGAATAAAATGGTGGTTAGAGAAGCAAAGCATTGTATGTTGTGTGTGTGTGTGTTTTTTTTTTTTTTTTTTTGTTTTGTTTTGTTCATTCGTTCAAGTCAGTATCATCATCATCATCATCATCATCAAAAGTAATAGCAAGTTTCTGATGTATATAATATATATAAATGTTTGTGTGTGTGTGTGTGTAAAATGATGGTATGTGATGTTTATTTGACATGATGATGAGAATAAAGAAAACAAGAAAAAAAAAAGAAGAATATAAGGGAATTTAAAAATTGAGACTTTTAACCATTCACATAATTGATAATAGAATAAAGAATCAGAATTTAAAATACACACACACACATACACATACAGAATAATCAACTGATATGATGATGATGATGATGAGAATTTATTCTTTCAATATTGAACACGTATTCAATTATCAAATCAAATAACGGATAAATGTGGATAGATGATGTGTAACGGTGTTATCTTTAAAAATAAAAATCACAATGATTACTGTTATATAATAACACAAATAATGAATCGAATCCGACGACGACGACGATGAAAAAGTTGAAATGTACAAAAAACACACACACACACACGTAATATAGACAGAAAATTGAATAAATCAATGAATCAATCAATCAAACAAACAAACAACAATCTGATAGACATACACACACACACACACACAAACATTTTTTTTATCCAATTTAAAAACAATTCAATACACACACACATTGAATGTCCGACACATTATGAATGATGTTGAATTGAATTTTTTTTTCTTGAATAAAAAAAAACAACAACAACAACATAGGTATTTTAATGTCTGACTTTGTGTGTGTATGTCGAATTTTCGTAGAGAACAATATAATCATCATCATCATCATTGATGATGATGATGATGATGAACAACATTCAAAATAAAAATAAAAAAAAAATTCAAAAGAGAAGGAAAACATTGAATGATGAAATGGTCGAATGATGTTGATCATCATCATCATCATCATGATCGTCATCAATCAACAAGAAGAAAAAAACCGGATTATGATGATGATGATGGTTATAGCAAAATATATAAGTTGAGTGCGCGTTCATGTTCCCAAAAAGAAATAACAAAAAAAAAAAAATTTTCACTTTGTTTGTATCCATGGATATAAGTAAATTCACAACAACAACAAAATGAAACGACATGTTTAAAATAAAATAGATTGTTGTAGTAGCATCAATAGAGCAGAATATCATCATCATCATCATCGTCATTACTCAAATAGTTAATGTTGATGATGATGATGATGATGGTGGATAAATTCGTTGGAAACAAACAAACAATAATCATCGATTTAACAATAGTCAAACCATATTACATAGAGAGAGAGAGAGATTTTTTTTTCTACTGGAAAGCTTTGTTCTAGATTCTAGGCTAAATTACAAACAAAAAAAAACCAACAATCTTTAATCCAGAAAAAGATTTCTTTTTTTTCGTAATTAAATAATGAATGGATGGATAATCTTCCGCATAACGGGCAAATGATTTTCAGAATAAAAAACAAATTTCGAGAACAATTAATCCATCGTACAAGAAAAAAAAGTTAATAATGAATATTCTACGTGAGTTCAATAACATACCACATAACCACAGAACACAGAGAAACACCGGTAAAGATGTCACGTGTAAAGAGAAATATAACGTTAAACAAAACAAAAAAAATCTTTTTTATGAACATCCAGAAATAAATTTTTTTTTATGATGAGATTCCAATGAATCAACTTGAATCATTTCATTCGTGTCAATATAAAAAATAAAACAAAGGAATTGATGGCAAAATAGTCTATAATTAACTGAATGAATGAGATTCTGTATATGGAACTATGGAATTTTTTTTCCACTATTTGGTCATGATTCATATAGTGGAAAAAAAATCACCAAAATACATCTACTACAATCGAACACACACACACACACAACACAGAATGGCCAGAATCTCAAATTCAAAAGAAGGGGTTCATCAGCTATATGTGTGTGTGTGTGTAAGTGATCCATTATTATAAAAACAAAACAAAAAAAACCCAACAACCAACCAATTCCAAATTCGACTCAATTCTTTTTTCTACCAACTTTTAACTGATGACGAAGAATAATAATAATAATAATAAAGACAAAAGAAAACAAACAAAAAGAGATCTGAAAAGCCAAAAAAAAAAAATTCTCATTTTTTTTTTCATCATCAAAGATGAAATTTGGAACAACCAAAATGTATGTGTGTGTTGTTGGAAGACCATATTCAAGTTCTCATGAACATCACCAGATTTTTTTTTCTTTAGTTTTTGGTGGTGGTCCTTTCTGATTCTGTTGTGATTTGTATTGCTGTGGATCGATTGAAACTTTTATTTCATCATCATCATCATCATCATCATTATGGTACACACACGCACATACATTCTTTTTTTTGATATTAAAAAAAACACATACACACAGAAAGATTGACTGAGTTTGCTTGTTTGTTATTATTTTTTTCGGTTATTCCCCAATTGAAACGTCATTCGAAATAGAGAAAAAAAAAAACACACACACACACACACAAAAAAAAATTGGAAAAAATCCTGGAACAAGTATCCACATCATCATCATAGGAATAAATTTGAAACAGAATCTTTGGATAGATTGGAATCTTCTTGGGAAAAAATCATCAATATCAAACCATAATCATATGTAATAGGAAATTCTTGAGAATTTTTTTTCCATTTTTTTCGACTGAATCAAATTAAATTATCATACCATATCTAATATATAGAAAACAAAAAAAAAAACAACTTACCTTTACTTGGACAGTGAAAATGCACCGGAACATTATTTACATTAATTGAAGAAAAAAAATTTGACACATTCCTAATGTATAAATACAAGCCAGATCAAAGAATGATTTTGAATATATAAATGATGAATGATGTTGATGATGAGTAAATTGTATAAGAAAATTATCAAAAAAAAACGAAGAAGAAAAAGATTATCTTATGATGACAATTTTTGACGTGGATGGAATTATCAAACACATACACACACAAAACAAAAATTCACTGATGACTGATGTAATCATACATGTCAAAAAATAATGTGCGATGATTACAAAAATATATACAAAGCCGGCAATATACAAAAAAAAAAAAATTCGAATTCTTAGTCAACACACACACACAACGTTGTTGATCACATTGATTTTTTGTTGATGTCGGTTTTATTCTTTCAATCAAAAAAATCTTGGAACACCTGAAATGAATCGAATGAATTGAGAAAAGAAAATCTTTGATCTTGAAAAATTATTGCAGTGATATACACACACACAGGCCAATCAAATATAAACCTTTCGTTTGTTTTTTTTATATTTGTCACTTTGATGTTGAAAGAATCGCCATTTAACACAAAACAACAACAACAACAACACAAAGAAAAAAAAATCGAATTGAGGATGATGATGATTGGTGATGGTGATGGTGATGATGATGATGATGATGAAAAAGATTTTTCACATTCTCACTCTATTTCAATTCATTTTTCTTCCATCATTCTGTATTTGTGCGTGTGTGTGTGAATTTGTTCTAACTTTTTTTTTCTCTACAGCTCACTCACACACACACACACACACACACACAAAACTTTGCTTCTTTATATTATCAAATCATCATCATCATTTTTTTTCACTCTCCTCCTCCTCCACACACACATTTTTTTTTTTTTTTTTTAATGTATGGCGCGCATTTATAAGACCCGAACTAGCTTATCGTCACGATTATTTCAATAGTTTTTTTGTTGTTGTTGTTGTTGGTTTGGTTTGGTTTGTATTGTCTCACAGAAAGAGGGAGAGGAATAAAGAGAAGCAAAAAAGTTTGAATGATTTGTATGTTGTAAGAACGAGAACGAGAGAGACCCTCTGATGAAATTATGTGAATCAAATCCACATATACCCCTCATCCTCTTTGTCTCTCCATTGAGACTCACCCTCTTATCGTAGACAATCAAAAAAAAAAAAAAAAAAAAAATAGAAAAATTATTGTCATTGTTGTAGTGGTATTGATCATTAATTGAAGAATTTCTACAATTCAGAGGGTGAATATTCTATAGCTGGTGAATGTTCTCTTGTTGTTGTTCAGAAAAAAAAGGTAGTAGTATTGTGAGGATAAAAGGGTATCGTATTCGGTTTTTTATCGCCTACAACGAAGATGTTCTGGTTCTGGTTACATTTCCATCATCATCATCATCATCATCATTGATGATAATAATAATAATAATAATTCAGGCGTTGTATTTTAACAAAAGAACATTTTGATGATGATGATGATGATGATGAAAGGAAAAAAAATATCCCTAGAATAAATTCGTTTCCTCCTCATCGTCAACATCCTCCTCTTTCAAACTCTTAATTCTGAATTGTTCCACTACCTTTTCTTGGTTGTTTGTTGTATCCATTCAAAATTTTTTTTTTTTTTGATTGTTATACACGAAAACGTAATACAAATACAAATGTGTGAATGTGACAACAACAACAACAACAAGGGCATAGGAATAATTCCATAAAATGGAAATGGATTTATGAAGAAGAAAAAAAAAAGCAAAGATTTATTTTAAAAAATTCTCGAGATGATGGATGTCCATCATCAGTATTATGACCACACCTTGTTGAGCTAAAAAAAACACGTGCAAAAAATTTTGTCAATTCAAATTAGGGTTACCAAGGTGACCGGATTTTACAATTTTCACGTCATTTTTTTTTAGTCAATTAGAAGTTCAATGAAATCTGGTTTTCATATGAAAAAAAGGGTTCAAGGTTATATGTCCTAGGAGAATTGGTTTTTTTCAAATCAATAACAAAACAAATTCTGATTCTGATGAATAATAAGAATCAGAATATTCAATGACAGACAATTTAGATATGGAGTCAATGATCTCGTTATGCATATATGCACAAATCATTCGCCATGCTAAAATGATATAAATTTTTTTTTGTCTTAAAAATAATAGACTATAATCGATAGTATCGATTATAGTCTTCATCCTTATGGCGCGAATGTTGTGTGTGTGTGTGTGTGTGTGTGTTTTTTGTGTCGTCATTGATTGAGTCAATTTCATCACTTTCGAATTTTCGTTTAGCTTTCTTCATTTTTTTTCATCATCATTCGAGTATTTCATCATCTGACTATTCAGATTTTCGATATTTAAAGCTTGTTCATTTATTTTAATTTGATTTTCATATTAGGCACAAAAAAAATGAGTGATTTTTTCAAGCCTTCAAATTTTGATGCTCCCGATGAATCGGGTAATGTTGCTGGTCATGGTACAAAAAAGATCGAAAATCAATTAGATCAAAATATTGTTCACGTATCATGTTCACAGATTGCCCGTTTAACACGTAAAGAAGATGGGCTAGTTCTGCATCGACAAAAAGTCCATACTGTTGTTGTCATTGGTGTCGTGCAAAGCGTTGAAGAAGTTACGACCAAAAATGTTTATGTCATCGATGATTATACACCGGGTGGTCCAATCGAAGTTCAATACTGGAAAAATACTGCTGAAGGTTTGTAATTGTAAAATTTGACGTGAAAAATAATGATCATTTTGTGTAATTCATTTAGGTCCCGGTGGATCAATGCGAATTTCGTTGGTACCACCGACCGTTTTAGAACGAACCTACATTCGTGTGACCGGAAAAGTTTCCTATAGTGAACAAAAACCATTTGTTGTTGCTTTCCGTGTGGACGCAATCAAGGATCCGAATGAAATTCCAGAACATTTTCTTCAAGTCATTAATGATTCATTGTTTTTGGAAAAACGTAAAAATGTTACTGTCAATGCAAAAAACAAAGGAGCTATGGCTGGACCATCAAACGTAAATCAAATTGGTGGCAATAATACTTCCAACAATAATAATGGTGGTTATACTCAACTTCAACGTGGAGTGTTGAATATTCTGTCCAAACATAAGGATTCACCATCTGGTTTAAAACGTATTGAAATTCATAACTATATGACTGGTGTCAATCCTTCACAAATTGATGATGCCATTCAATTCTTGGTAAATGAAGGTCATATCTTCAGTACAGTCGATGAAAATACTTTTAAAGCTACTTTTTTCTAAAAATTTTCCCAAAAAAATTTGAATTCAATAAAAATTTCAATTTCAATTAATTCTAAATACAATCGATACTATCGATTTTTTTGTTGTTGTTGTTGTTGAAAGCACGTGAGTTGATTGATGATCCAATGAATTTGTAAAATTTTATATTCGTTTCAAAGATTTAGAAAAAAGATGGTTGATCTTCAACAATTCAGTGATTATGTTTATCGTTATCCTGATGTTCAAAGTATTGATCAAACATTAAAAGTACTGGAAATTCGTATACAATCGATCGTTTCAGATGAAATCAATTTCGATATCATTGGTTTGAAACCATTTTTTGCCAATACAATACGGCAATTAATTTTGAATGAAATTCCTACGATGGCCATCGAAGATGTTTATTTTCAGAAAAACACTTCCACTTTTTTCAATTGTGATTACATTTCCCAACGTTTAGCATTGATTCCAATCGATGCTAATCCAAATGATTTTAAATTTCGAAATAAAAACCAATCGGAACGATTGAATACGAATAATTGTATTGTGATGAATTTGAATAGAAAAAATACTGGCACACAACCAATCAAAATATATGCCGATGAAATTGTATGGGAACCGATTGGAACAAGACAAAATCTATTATCACCGATTAAATTACTGTATCCAAAAATACCAATCATGTATCTGAAACCAGATGAAGAAATTGTTTGTCGTTTACATTGTGTTAAAGGTCGTGGTTTAGATCACATGAAATTCAGTCCAGGATTTGCTCGTTATTTTTTTCATTCACAAATCACTATAAAAGATGGAGAAAATCTTTCCAATGAAACAGTTGAACGAATAAAATCATCTTTTCCGGCTGGTGTAATTGAAACGAAAATCCGACCAAATGGTCAAATTATACCGGTTGTTGTTAATGAACGCCTGGATCATCATACAAGAAGTTTTAAAAATTATGATGATGTAGCCAAAGCTGTCCAGGTGAAATATTATCGTGATCATTTGATTTTTATTGTTGAAACTTATGGCGTAAAAGATCCGGCCGAAATGTTTATTAATGCATTGGATATATTCAAATATAAAATTGAAATATGGAAAGAACGTATTCAAAAAGTTAAATCTGAACCTGAAAAAAAATAATCGAAAAATGACACCGTTAGTTCCTGATTATTATTTGATTTTTTTTCAAATTGGTAAATTTTCCATAAATTGAGAATGATTAAAATTTTCAGCATTTGTTTTTTTGAATGCATCGTCGACTTTTCTGACTGTCCTGATTCATTTATGTCAAAATAGATGAATACAAATTTCATCATCACTGCTTTTTTCAGTATTAAGAGAGAGAGAGAGAGAGAGAGAGAGAGAGAGACTATTTATTCATTCAATCTTGTCATTCAATCAGTTTACGCGCTTTTTTTTTTTCAATTTCATCAATCAATCATCGAAATCATGTCCAGCAAAAAGAAACAACAAAAAGGTAATGCTATTTGTATCATCATATCATATTGATCATTATATTGATATCTTTTTATTAATTCAAATAGCCATGGCTCCAGATTCGGATGAAGAATCACCAAATTCATTGAAATTGAGTAACAATCGTTACCTAACCGTTTCGGACTTTAAGAATAAAGTACGTGTTGATATACGTGAATATTATCGCAATGAAGATGGTGAACGAAAACCAGGAAAAAAAGGCATCAGTTTATCGATGGAAGAATGGAAAAAAATTGTATCCAATATGGATATGATTAAAAAAATGATTAAAGATCAAGGTGATTCAGGTTCTGAATGAATGAATCTAATTTATAAATTACATCATTGTTTAATGAATCATTATCATTACATTAATAAAAAAATGAAAATCGTTTAATAAAAGTCTAAATTTAAAGATATAAGCTGGCTGCAAAAACAATATCACGTTTTATTAATTTGATTGCTTCAGAGAATTTATTCTCCAAATCAGTATTGCCAATCACTTTTGATGCCTGACACATTTGTCTTAATAATTCTTCCAAACGTCGCATACAACGTATTATTGAACCTTCGAATGCATCGGTCATTTTACATATTTCTGAAAATGACTTTCCTTTTGTCCATGAATAAATAACATCCATTAGATTTGGTCGAAATTTTTCTATGTAAACTTTTTCATCGATTTCTAATTTGGTTTCCTTTGAAACGGTTGCAATTTTTTTAGCCAATTCTTGCATTGTTTTCAATGGTTTCGATAATTCTTCACCCAATTTAGGTCGAACATCTGTTTTTTCTTCGAAAACCATACAGCTTAATAATGCGGCAATCTGATATACATTTAAATCATTGAATAATCCATGGAATAACATTTCGGTCAATAATAATTCATCGCCACTGTAACAAACAAAACAAAACAAAAAAAAATGGAAAATTGATGAATAAACAAATCATCAGTGAATCATCATATAATACAAACCTAGTAATTTCACAGGCAACACGTCCTTTAATCTCGATGACATCTGCCGATGTACAATAGCCTAAACGACGCAGTACACGTTTGCGGCATTTCAATTCATCCATCTGTAATAAACTTCTAGTTTTTTTCATCATTTCTTTGGTTTGTTTCATTTTATGTACAATATCCATTTTTCGTTCATATTGTTTAACACTTTCTTGGTTGATTTGTTTATATTCACGTAGTTTTTTTTCACACAATTCAATTCGTTTGACAATGTTGAGAAAATCATTATCTTTGATTTTCATATCCACCAATGGATCCAACAAAGGAATGTTTCCACTGAAACGTTTTTTAATTTCTTTTATAGATTTCAAAACCGATTGGCGGCTATCATAACTACGTAAATCTTGTGGTACAAATGCACGTGCTGCACTGATATTTGTGATGTTCGATAATCGTAATGATATAATTTTCATTTCACATTTTTCCACACTACTTGGTGGCAATATTGTTTCACTAATTGGATCAATTGTTTTATCCACTGGTAGCAGAACATCGATTTGATATGTCAATTCTTGTTTATCATTTCGTTTTCTATCCATTGGTGGTGGTTTATTATAATTAATCAATACACCCCAATCCATATCGATGTTATCATTGTTAACGATTTTCAATAAACGTCCACTATTTAAAAATGGTAAAATATATCTTGGTGTTGTGATGAAAACCAGAAATTCTTTGGTCAATTCAGTAATCTGATTTTTTGTTTTAACATAATCACCAATACATTCTTCATTTTCGATTTCGATGTTACTTTGTTCTTTTAGTTTTTTGTATTCTAAATGAGGCAGAAATGAGAAAAAATTTTAAAATTAAAAAAAAAATCCAAAATCAATTAAAACTTACTTTCATGCAGCTTAGGATATTCAAGATATTGTTGAAATTGGAAAAAACTATGCTCAAGCATGTATTCAGGATTCACTTCTTCAACACGTAACAGATTCAAAACCATATTATATGTCAAATGAAACGCTGAGTTCAGTGGATCAGGTTTACCACAAATCATTTCTTTACCAACAGCTGGATTAACTTTTTCATCCACACGAAGTATAACTATGCCACGTTCATCAAGGCCACGACGGCCAGCACGGCCACTCATTTGAATGTATTCGCCTGAAGTTAGAAATCGAAAATTTGTACCATCAAATTTTCGTACACTTGTGAACACAACCGTTCTAGCCGGCATATTCAAACCCATGGCAAAAGTTTCGGTGGCAAACAATGCTTTTATAAGACCTTCACCGAATAAAATTTCAATCGTTTCTTTGATCAATGGTAAAAGACCACTGTGATGGATGCCAACACCACGTTTAAGAAGTGGTAATATTTGCTGTACTTGTGGTAATTTTTTATCATCATCACCAAGTACATCGATTGCATTATTAAATACTTCTTCGACTAATGCTTTTTCTTCGGCAGAATTGAAATCCAATTTAAGATTGCTAATTTGAAGTGCATAAACTTCACATTCTTTACGGCTAAAACTAAATAGAATAACTGGTGCCAGATTTCGTTCCATGATTGTACGGATAACTGTGATACAACTTTGATCACCACCTTTGGATGATGAATTTTCAACAGAAGAATTTTGCAATACATTCATAGCTAGATTGAAATTATCTTCACGAAAATTATTTTGTTCATCCAATACCAAATGAAGTCCATCACCACCAGCTGGATAGATATAATGTTGTAAAGGTGTTGGACGAAAATCTGTATAGACAACATGACAACTTTGATGATGTAGATGAGCTATCCATTCGGCAAATTGTCTTGCATTCGGTATAGTAGCGGATAGGAAAACATAATGCACAGTGTCGGGCAAAAGAATAATGGTCTCTTCCCAGATAACACCACGTTCACGGTCACGCATATAATGAATTTCATCGAAAATTACCCATCCAACTTCACGCATAATTTCACTGCCACGAAATAACATTAAACGAAGAATTTCTGTAGTCATAATCAAACAAGTGGCATTCGGATTGATTGTCACATCGCCAGTGATTAATCCAACGTCTTCAAATTCTTCTTGAAATTCACGATATTTTTGATTACTCAATGCTTTGATTGGTGTTGTGTAGATAACACGTTGTTTGTTTTGGAATGAAGATGCAATGGCATATTCAGCAACAACCGTTTTACCAGCGGAAGTGTGTGCCGAAACCAAAACGCTTTGATTATTTTCAATACAAAGGATTGCTTCTTTTTGAAATGAATCCAATGTGAATTTATATGATTTAGCCGGTTTATAATTAGGATTTTCACTTTGATCTCGAAGAGGCACATATTCCAAATCGTCAGGTATGATCACTTCATGTACACACGATCCTTGTGTTTCTATTTCATGAATTGCGACACGAGCAGTAAAAGTTCCATAATCTTGACCCAAATTTTCATCATCATCATCATCTTTATCATCATGTGTTTTGGTCAATTCATCTACCATTGAAGTGATTAGAAGATTATCATCATTACCTTTTTTACGTTTCACATCGTTGATTAATTTATCGATCAAACCGTTGTCAACATCTTCGTCGATGGTCATCAATTCTTTTTCACCATTATCATTACCACTATTTTTGCCATTACTTTCTTCAATAACATTGGCTTTTCGTTTATTATTATTATCATTGGATTTTGGATCCAAATCAAAAACATCGAATAAATCCATTTCGAATTTTGTTTAGAAAAAAAAACACGTGAGTTGAGCTTATATTGCTTGGAATCTATTTATACCTTAATGAATCGAAAACTGTTTCAATAGTGTATTGTGTGTATCGAAAACAAATTTTTTTTTTTTTAATATTCCATAAAAATAACAATTTTCAAGTTTGAACAATTTCATTTACATGAAAAAAGAATATATTGAATTTCAAATGAAATTAAATTAAATCAATCAATACTATGAAATAATAATCCAAACAAACGAAAAAAAATCATGGTCGAATTAGCGGGCAATTCAGAATCATATGGAATCATTTCACATGGTTTCAACAATTGGATATTCATAGGACCCGGCATTATAATTTTTTCGCTTATAGGTTAGTAGAGAGAGTAAATTTCATTTTATTTTATCATTTTTATTTATAAGTAGAAAAAAAAAAAACATTCGAAAATCATTCATTCATTCATCATCATGGATTTTCGAATGTTTTTGTATTTTATCAATAATTTTTTCAATTTCATCATCATAATTTTCATCCATAATTGATTCTTTTATCATTTGTTTTTCAATCGTATCAGCAATGATTGTTTCAGATTCATTCATTATTTTATATAAATTTTCAATTTGTTCATCATCTTTTTCACGTGGTGTTTTCAAATCATTCATTTGTTGTATAAATTCCAATGATTCATATTCATTATGATCATCGAATGGCATGAATAAATTTTCCAATAAATTACCTAATGTAAAATTTCCTGGCTGTACAAATGCGCCAATTCTAAGATCATTATTATTAATTTTATTTCTTGTCTTCATCATATTATTACGTTGTTGTTGTTGTTGTTGTTGTTGTTGTTGTTGTTTTGTCGCCGAATGTTCATCAGGTTTTTAGCCACGAATTTTTTTGGCAATTTTTGTTTACGAAATTCCATAATTTTTTTGAAATTTTTTTTCTAATTATACCGCTGGTATATAAAGCCATTGTTTTTTTTTCTTATTGATTGTTAATCGATGAGATTAATTCAATTTTTACTAATTACAATTTCATTCCTTTCGTTTTCTATTTTTTTTGCGGATCAACATTTTAAATTTTACAGCATCAGCAGCAGCAGCAGTAGTAGACTATAGTTCATTGCATGGATGCTGACATATGACGATAAAAACTTGTCAGTTTAGTTCTCTCTCTGTGTGTGTGTGTTGTGCACATTTTTCATCTAATTATCATCATCACATTTTTAATGGTGGCTTTATCCACCACCACCATCATCATCAGCTTGTCGATAAAATGTCCACATCAACCTGTTTTTTTTTTGATGTTGTTTGTCTGTTTTGTGGTGTATCTATGATGATGATGATGGTGGCAACCAACCTCTCTCTCTCTCTCTCACACACACAAAAAACAAATCATCAACAGCGATAAAGTTTGGTTTGATTGTTGTCTATTTTTTTTCATGGTTAATTCCAAATCTCTAAAATACTCCTATTGATTCCGTTCGATTTTGTTTGTGTGTGTGTGTGTCTGGATAACATAACACGTGTCACTAATCATCATCATCATCATCATTGATTTATTATTTTGTGATCTGAAATTTAATTGATTTCGTTCGAAAACAAAACGAAAAAAAAGAATGTATTGGATATTATTGGTGTTGATTCCGGTGTTAATCATCGGTTAGATCTATTTTATTATCAATTTATTAATCGATTGAAATTAATTTTTCTGTTGTTTTTTTTTCTTTCTCATTAATCCAGGATTTTTTGTCTATAAATTGGTACAAAATTTAAAGGACAAAGAAAAACGTCGTGAAGAGAAGAAGAAAAAAAAGATGGAAAAAACGACTAAAAAAGTTAAATAGAAAATAGAAACAGAATTTGGCCCATTCTGTTTTGTGGTTAATTCCGATTGTTGTTCCGGTTTTCATTAAGTTTCTATACAATTGCAACCAATTCTTGAATATTCACATTTGCACACGAACACATTCGAACGTTTTATGAATGAAATTTGAATAAATTCTATTTTGAATCATTATCATTGACAAATTGACAAATTAATTTTTTTTCTCTTGTATCAAAATAATCAATCTATTTATATGTATATATTAAAAATTAAAACTTGATGATTTAGGCATTTTTAATCGATCATCACCCGTTATTACGTTGGTGGTGGTGGTGGTGGTGGTATTAGTGGCTGTTATTGATTGTCCATTATGTATGAAATCATCATCAATTAAATGTTCAAATGGCCAATTATCTTGTACAATTTGTTCATTTAATATTCGATATTTTTTCTTTGATTTTATATGAAATTTCATCCGGATCCAAGGTAATAAATAATTTGCCATTAATCCATACCAAAAATATCGTTCCAATATGAATGACAATATGAAATTTAATAAACAAATGAATAAAATTGTTAGCCGAAAATCGAATGGTAATGGTATGAATTCCAAAAAATCGATAAACCATTCCGGTGCAATCAATGACATCAATAATGATAATGAAAAATTGATTAAAACCATACAAATGTAGATTTCTGGTGGTAATGAAAATCATTTGAAATTAAATGAGAAAAAAAAACAACAAACATTTAACTTACTGTTTGAAAAAATCCTAAACGATATGGTGGTCCTGGTGCAAACACAATAGCAGCAATAACATAAGACATTGTATTTGCTGAAAAAATTGCATATGCAATCTGATTATGTACTGGTTGTTCAATAATATCTTCACTTATCACCGGTACATAAAATGGTTGTGTAATCAGATATGTTCGTATTAGATAATAGATAAAAACTTGACCAATAATAAATGAATATAATGACATTTGTTGAATAAAACTCAATAAATTTCGTATAGGCATTCGTTGTGAAAGTTTTGGATATGGATATGTTGTAGCAAATACCATTGGTGGTAAAATATTCATTATAACATCAACAAATACATATGTACCATCGGATGGTCGAAATCCATGCCAGAATAATATTAATGCTGCACCCAATAAAATAAAACAATATGCACTTTGATATTTAAATGTACCAAAAACACTGACTAATGTACAGCGGCCTTCTTTGATCAATGATGGTACACAGGAAATATCTTTATTTTTATACGTGAATGGTGATGCTACTGATGCTTCGGCCACTGATAATGCTATTCCAGCATCAGCAGCACGTAATGCACCACAATCATTGGCACCATCACCACACATTCCAACATTATGATCCTGTTTTCGTAGAATTGTAATCAAACTTTTTTTCTGATCCGGTGTCATACGAGCAAAAATTGTTCCTTTATGAATAATACGATCAATCAATGATGGTTTCGAATTTCTAATGATATTATATGATTCACCATCGATGGCTATATGATAATTGAATTTTTGTTCATTAATTTCATTGGCTTCTACATCATCATCATTATTATTCATGATCATAAAATCAGGATATTTTACATAATCATAATGGATGGAAATTTGATTCGGTAATAATTTGTTGGTGATTGCCTTCACTCGGATAATAGCATCACATTTATTGACCATATTACATTCTTGTGCAACGGCCAATGCTGTCAAAATATTATCACCAGTGGCCATTACACAACGAATATTGGCATCCATTAATTCTTTAATGATATCTTCGGATGATGGTTTAAGTTTATTTTTAAATAAATAGAATCCATTAAATGTCATATCACTTTCCAGTAAACTACGGCTCATTTCAAGACATTCATCCATATCCATAGTGTCCATAATTTTCGATGCAGTTGCTAGTACACGAAATCCTTGGCTAGTATATTGTTCAAGAATTTCATTGAAATTTTCCGGTAATGTTTCTGGTATGCAAAATAATTTCAACACTTCAGGTGCACCTTTTACAATTGCCATTAATCGATTTTCTTTCACATCTTTAATGATGACCAACATTCTTTGTAAAAATGATTCAAATGGATATTGTTTCATTATACCGATTAATTGATAATTTGTACCGGAAAATGTATTGGTTACAATACGTTCAGGAATTTTTCCAAATGTTTTATTCAAATCATCCATATCTTGTACAAATGTCCATTCACTAGCTGAAAATAGTTTCAAATCAAGATCATCACCTTCAATGTTGCCTTTATATTCAACCAATGAATGGCATGATGCCATTGTTTTGACAATAATACTATCGGCTGGTAAACATTTCATATCAATGAGTATTGATTGAAATTTTCTATTCAAAATCGGTACAATTCCTGCAAAATCGATTGTATCTTCTGTTAGTGTGCCAGTTTTATCGAAACACATTGTATCAATTTCACCGGCACAAGCAATCGCCTGTGAATTCAAACAGAATATTCCTTTCTTTTTCAATCGTCGTTGTGCATGTACATTAACGCTGGTCAATACGGCCGGTAAAACCGGTGGTATTAAAAATGTACCAACATCCAATACAATGATCATGATACTGGTGGTGGCAAAATCAAATCGACTTAATGCATAATAAGTGTAAATAAACGATGGGATACCAATCAAAAACACAAATATAATGGACATTTTGATCATTTGTCGTTTGATGTTGTTATTCATTTGCATTGGATATAGAATGCTTCTAGCCAATTCTCCTTTTGTGGTTGAAAATCCAGTACGTACTACAACGGCCATTACATCGATATTTTCTTTACTATAAACATTTAATAATTTTGTTCCGGAAAATAAAGTGTTACTTTTATGTATTGATGATGAATATATTGATGTTGGATTATCAACAAGTGGAACTTTTGGCACTGGAAGACTTTCACCAGTTAACATACTTTCATCCATAATACATGAACCAGTCATTAGTACTGCATCACATTCCATCATATAATGAATGTTTGATGAATGTTTTGGCAAAACAATTACATCACCGGGTATTAATTCTGTGGAATTTTTCTGCACCGATATTGAATCACGAATCACAGTGACCATTGATGTTGAATGTACTTTTTTTCTCAATGCTATTGATTGCTAAATAGAATAGGGGGAATGTTGAATTTTGAAATCAAAAAAAAAAACGTTTTTAACAAACCTTACGTGTTTGCCATACATGCATTGCAACGGACACAGTGGACAATATAAATATGCAGGCAGCAAATTGATAATAATCTTGAATTAACCAAACACAAATGATGAAAAATTGATACAGATAAAATGGTCCAGTAATCTACAACGGACAAACAAGATAGATTCTGATAATGATAATAAATTTCAATTTTCAAACCTCATTAAATGTTAAACGCCAAATGGGCAACACTTCAATATCAATGGAATTACGTCCAAATAAATTCAATTTTTTTGCCGCTTCCGTTGATGATGCACCTTCCACTTGGCTATAAAGAACGCTACATTTTTCTTGATCAAGACCTTTTAGTTTTTTAAAATGTTCATATTCATCTGTCCATATGTATTTGATTTTTTTATGCATAAAATAACGATACGATAAATTTGGCATCACATGCATTTGTTCCACAAATTCATCACCATATTTATCCTGTTGAGAGATAGTGAAAAAAAATGAATTTTTTTCTTCATCATATACACAAACCACAAACATACTTTTAGCACAAGAATCTGTGCTTTATCTAATGAACATCGTTTTTTAGTCAATCGTATCCTGATGGCCGGTTTCAATAACATCAATATGGCAATTAATCCACCGGACGCAAAAACAGCCATACCAATGATGATTGTTTTCCATAATGAATTGGTGAATCCTTGCAATTGTAGTTCATCTTCTTCACCAACATTCATTCGATCATGGTGTTGTTGTTGTTGTTGTTGATCGATTCCACGTTTGGAATCCAACATGTTTTTTTATTCAATGAATTTGTCGAGATAAACGAAAAAAAAAAAAATTCTAAATCATTTAGATTATGGGTGACAAAAAAAAAAAAAAAAAAAAAACGAAACATTCGCGAAACTATGCCATAGTTTTCATATCATCAATATGATTGTGAACACAATACAATAAACAACTAAAGAAGTAAAAAAAAAAATCATCACCATCAAGCTAAACAAACAGATCAAAACATACAATTCAAAACTTTTATAATCATATCATTTGATTGATTTAGATTGAATGATGACATTCCAGTCCATACTAATCAGTGCTTGTCTTTCGGTCACGTCGGATGCCATCAAACAAACAAAAAAATAAAAACGAGACGTAATCAACATGAAGACCAATTTTTTTTTTTTTGACAATCAACCAACAATATGATATGATATGATGATCGTTTAACGTCATTGTAATTTCATCGGATTTTTATTCACAAGGAAGAAAAAAATGAAACAAAATCATTGATAAGATTATAATTGATTGATTGATTGATTCAAAACGAATATGATACATCGATATGAAAATGTTGTGGTCCAACCAGACCCCTTTTTCTACATTTGGATTCGACCTAGATATTTTTCAAGATGATAATTATTCAAGATTCAGGATATTCAAGGATAATATACATTCGTAATAATTAATTTAATAAAAATTTTTCGTAATTAAAATGTACAAAGTATCAATTCATTCGAAAAATTCTTTTTAACAGATTTGATCGCCATCTATGAATGAATTATCAAAACATTTTTGCACTAGTTTATATGAACGGCTATGAAACGTGGTTTTTTTCTGTTTTTTCTTTTCACAACACACACGATTCGATTGGCTTGTGTTTTTCACGGTGGCAGCAACTTCCTTTTCTTTTCACTGTGTGTGCCAGTGTGCAGTGTGTTTTTTTTGTTTTTCATTGAAATTTTTGTATTTTTTCATCAGAATCAGAATATTCCAAAATGGGTGCATACAAATATATGCAAGAAATATGGCGACACAAACAATCTGATGTTATGCGATTTTTGCTTCGTGTACGTACCTGGCAATATCGTCAATTGAATGTCATAACTCGATGTCCAAGACCAACACGAACGGAGAAAGCTCGCCGACTTGGCTATAAAGCTAAACAAGGTTATCTTATTTATCGTGTTCGTGTTCGACGTGGTGGCCGAAAACGCCAAGTTCCAAAAGGTATTTGTAATCATTTTATCATTATTTCCATTAATTTAAAATTTTGAATCGAATTCTAGGTGCCACATATGGCAAACCAAAGAACCATGGTGTCAATGAATTGAAACCGAAACGAAATTTGCAAGCCATTGCTGAAGAACGTGTTGGCCGTCGTGTTGCCCATGCTTTGCGAATTTTAGGATCCTATTGGGTTGGACAGGATTCTACTTTTAAATTTTTTGAGGTAAATTTTAAAAACATTATCATCACTATTCAATGACAAAAACAAAAATTTCCATTTTCGTAGATCATTTGTATTGATCCTTTCCACAAGGCTATCCGTCGTGATCCAAAGATCAATTGGATCTGTAACGCTGTACATAAACATCGTGAATTACGTGGTTTGACTAGTTCAGGCAAAAAACATCGTGGCCTACGTGGTTCTGGACATGGTTATTCCAAACTAATTGGTGGATCACGACGTGGAAATTGGCGCAGACGAAACACATTACAGCTTACGCCGAAAACGATAGAATCGATATATTGGTTTTTTCAAAAAAAAAATCTATTCGATTTATCAATCCTCCCAAAAAAAAAAATTTGAAATAAAATTTATTTGGACACAATTTTTTATTTGTGAAAAAAAAAATTTCATTTTTATTTCCAAAACAATCAATTCAGTACATCAATCAAACACATTCAAAATTTACCAAATTTTGAAAAACTTACCTTTTTGGGGAGGGGGCATGCCAAAACAACCCTTCGAATCCATAAACATCGTGGCCATAATGATCATCATCATCATCCTGGTGTTCAAAAGAATCAATGAAATAGAAATGGAATATATATAGAGATTAATTGAAATAAATGATTGAAAAAAAAACATTCCAACATTGAAATGAAAAAAAAGGAATTGGGATTGAATGAAGTGATGGTGAATTGTGGTGGTGGTGGTGGTGGTGGTGGTGTTGGATAGAAAAAGCTGATGGTCTTTACCTAAGCACAACAACAACAACAACAATAATTCACTGTCCTGGCCATCTATTTTTAAGATAAAATTTTTTCACTGATCGATGCTTGTTTGAAATTAAATATAATCGATAAATATGAATTTTCTTTTTTTTTGTTTGAAAACTTTATTATCAATGATGACATATCCATAGGTGTGTGTGTGTGTGTGTGAAATTGTTGACAATTATTGTAGGTAGTATATATGTGTGTGTGTCTGTTATGTATGTCTGGTCAGTGTTTATTTGTTTGTTTGAAATGTTTGGTCAGCAAAAAAAAAAATCAATCAATCAATCGGCTACTAAATTATCAATTATTACATGATGATGATTAATAATAATATAAATATAAATATAAATTAAAAATTGAGATTTAATTGATTAAAAAGTGATAATAAAAACCTGTGTGTTTTACACAAAATTCAATGTTCTGCTTATATGTAATGTGTTAATATCAATAATGTGTATAATAATCTTTTGGATTTCTTTCTTATTATTTCGATAAAAAAAACAAACTAAATTTTGGCCTTGGAAAATTTGTATTTTATTCAAGTTTTTTTTACGATCATCATCATAATAGTAAGAAATAGATGAGAGAGAGAATGAGAATATCAATTTCAAATGATAGAATTTTTATATAGAGAAAAAAAAATCAATGAAAAATGAATAAGAAAATCAAAATGAAACTTATGAGGAAGAAGAAGAAGAAGAAAAAGGAAAAAAAAGTGGAATTGGATTGAATATATTTTTTTGTTTGTATTTGAATGAAGTCGACATTTAAAAAATGAAAAAAAAAACAAAACAGGGCTCATTTTCGTTTATTCTGGCACTATTCTGTTGAATGGAATATAAACTGTGTGTGTGGGATATATTGGGAACGATTTTTGTTTGTTTGTTTGAAAACATTGACCAGATAAATGAATCGATGATAATAATAATAATAATAAAAAGTTCTGCTGATTCTGATGGTTTGAGATGCGCATTAACAATCATTTAATATATGTGTGTTTGCTTGTGAATGGTTTATGAAAAAATGATGCTGTGTTGAAACTTTGATTTTTTTTTGCTTTTCTAATCATCAATACATTCATATTCATCAATAATCAATCAATTAATCTTCATCTTCGGTAATTTATACGATATATATCTGGATTATATTTGCTTTAAAATACGATATCGATACCTATATTATTTTTAATATATTTACACACGCGAGTAGGTACACAGAAGAAGATCAACACACACATTTTTAAGATCGAATCATCGATTGAGAGATATATTAGAAAGATCATTATCATTCATTAGATTATATAACATTTTGAATACGTGGATACTGTTTTTCTGTTCTGATTTTTTTTTTGTTCACTATATTTTATCATCATCATCATCATCTTGTCGCCTGTCCTGTATATCTTGTCCTTATAATTTTTATTTTTATTTTTTTTAACTGTACGAATGAAAATAGAAAGAAAGATAAACCCTAGAAAAAAAAGAATGCAACGAATAAAGAAAATGATTATTTTTGAATATTATTTTAAGCTTGAAACTAAAAATTTTTTTTTTTTTTGCAATTTATATACCAAACATAAATTTGTCAGGCAAAAATTTTGAACAAAAAATTTTTTTGAAAAAAAAAAAAATGACTTACCCTTACCCGTGTGAGATTTGAATTTTTTTTTTTTTTTTTTTTGGCGAAAAATTAAATGTCGACAATGGATGATTTTTTCTGTTTTGTTTTGTTTTTTAGTAATGAAAATTTCGAATTAAATATTCAACGTCGTCCACCGTAATTACCACCACCATAATTACTGCCATAACCACCTATATATAACATTTGTTTTTTTTTGTCATCATCATCATCATAAGTCAAACGATTGATAAGGATTTAGAAAATACTTACCACCATATGGTCCTTGACCTCTATGGCTATAATTGGCATTACGGATTGGACCACCGGCACCACCACCACCATAATTGTTTCCATAACCAGAATTTCCATAATCAGAACTCCAGCCACCTTGACCTTGATTCCAACCACCTTGGCTTTGTTGGCCATAATTATTCTGTCCATAACCACCACCATAACCATCTACAATTTATAGAATTTGATTTTAATTAATTTTTCATTTTTAATCTGAATAAAGCTTACATCCACTTTGGCCGTAACCGCCATTGTATCCTCCACCATAATTTCCAGGACCAGATTCCCAGACTGGTGCATTTCCACGCGTGCCACCTCCAGCACGGTTCACATTTCGTGCTTCAGTTTTACGTTTCATCGTATCCATCTCTTGTCTGGACAATGCTTTTTTCACTTCAGTTCGTTTGCCTTTGATAACATGATGTCGTTTCACTATTTATAGAAAAGAAAAAAAAATTTTTTATCAATCATAAATCAATAAAAACATGATGATTTTTAAAATTAGAAACAAAAACATACAAACTATTTTATCAACAGGATCATAATCATCAAATTCGACAAACGCAAAACCACGTTTTTTGCCAGTTTCTTTGTCTGTTACAATGTTAACATTGACAACATTGCCAAATTCTTCAAAATATTCACGAAGATCATTCTCTTCAACTTCTTCTTTGAGACCACCGAGAAAAATTTTCTTCACCGTTGCTTGAGAATCAGGTTTACCTGAATCTTCACGTGGTACGGCTCGTTTTGGTTCAACTTCACGACCATCCACTTTATGTGGTCGAGCTTTTTGTGCTTGATCAACCATCGATGATTTTGAATATGTAATGAAACCAAAACCACGTGATCGTTTTGATTGTGGATCACGCATCACAACACAATCAACAATTTCACCCCATTGTTGAAAATGATTTTTCAATGTATCTTCAGTGGTTTTATAATCCAAACCACCGATGAATAATTTTCGAAATTGTTCAGGTTCATCTTCACCACCATCATCATCTTGGCTATAATCATTATTTCCATCATCACCACCACCATTATCATCATTACCATTATTCTGATTAGTAGAATCCATCGGTTGTTCTTCTTCTTCTGTTTGTTGATTAAACGATTGATTTTGTTCAGAATTTTCATTCTGTTCTTGTTGTTGTTGTTGTTGTTGCTGTTCTTGTGGTTGTTGTTGTTGTTGTTGCTGTTGAGCATCATCACCATAACCATTTGATTGCTATATTCATTCAATATATATATGGAATTTAATGAGAAAAAAATTTCCATATAACAAAGCAAAAAAAAAATCATCAACTTACCTCAACTTTAATATCAACATCGGCCATTTTTAATCAATATTTGAAAATTATACTTTTTGAAAACAAAATGTTAGAAAAATTTATTACAAATGGAAAGATTTGAAAAAACAAAATATCCAAAAAAAAAAAAAAAAAAAATGAAACGCAACACCAATGCAAATTGAACGTATGCTGTAATGAATATGGTGAGCACACACACACACACACACAAAAAGAGAGCGAAACAAAGACAAAAAAAAAATTTTTGAGCAAGCAGCCAAAAACACACACCATCAACCAAAAGAATATAAATTGGAGCTACCACACACACACACACACACACACGCCGACAAAATGGCAGCTAGTTCAATTTTCTATTTTTTTTTTTCATTAGACCCGCCCACTTTATCCACTACAAAAAAAAATAATCCACCACTATAGTGACATCTATTGTCGATATTTTTAAAAAAAAATTGCCCTTTTATTTTTTTTTTTTTTGTTTTAAAATTTAAATCATCATCATCATCAATAATCATCGAATATATAAAAAAAAATGAAATAATTTTCGATTATTACATCATTCCTTCGGATGAACGAATATCATCAATTTTTAGAATCATTTTCACCAATTGTGTGGCCAAACTAATTTGTTGTTTTTTGCTATTCAATGTTTCGATTATATTTTGAACTTTCATATCTGTATGTGTATATAAATAAATAAAAATGTGGATTAGTCTTAAAATTAAACACATGAAAATGTAAAAATGAAATAAACAAAAATATTACCATTAGTTCCTTTTTGAATGCAATCAATACCCAATTGTGGTTTGGATTCTTTTACTTGTCGTGCTTTCACTTCGGCCACAGTTTCTATTGGTGAAAGGCCACTATTTTCAGCCAAAGCTAATGGTATTGATTCCAATGCATCGGCAAATGATCTGAATGCATATTGTTCCAATGATGTGATCTTGTCAGCTTCTGCCGATACAGCCAATGCACAGGATATTTCAGCAGCACCACCACCATAAACGATTCGATTATCTTTGATAAGATTTCGTACAACACAAAGAGCATCATGCATTGAACGTTTAGCTTCTTCCACAATCATTTTGTTACCACCACGAATAAAAATCGTTACAGCTTTGGTATTTGGACATTGTTCAATGACCAACATTTTATCACGTGTAGTACCGAAAGATAATTCACGTACGATGCCAGCTTTACCAAGTTTTTCTGGAGTTAATTCCTCAAAACGTGGAACAATTCTACCACCGGTTGCAATAGCAATTAATTCAATTTCGGGGCCACCGACCCAACGAACAGCAGGCAATTCTTTTTGCAACAATAGATGATTAGCTTCATCGTCGAAGCCCCATTGGCAGATGACCAGATTTGCTCCAGCATCTTTAACGCGTTGGACAATTTCTTCAAATTTTTCAATTTCATATTTTCGTAGATTACGATAATCTTCAACCGATTGTACATCCAACTTATGTTTGGTTTTTGGCTTTGGTGGTTCAAACGGACACGTTAATATGGCCAGTTTTACATCTTTCAATTCATTAGGCATTTGTGGATGGCTAAAATTCTTATCGACAATAACACCGTTGACCAAAATTGAATCTTCAAGTCTTCCACCAGGTTTGCCTTCAACTTTAATCAAATCGAATGAGACATCTTTTCGTTCAAGATCGGCAACCGAAATTACAGCATTCACTGCTATTTCGGCAAATTTCCGTAAACAACGATTGACAATCTTTGAACTTAATGTTGTTGTAGCAGTTTCGATTAATGGTTCCAAATTATTCTGATTGATCGGGAAACTTTCACAGATTTTATCCAGATGTTCCAATGCATGACGTGCAGCCAATTCAAAACCATCGGCAATACGAATCGGATGAATACCACGATCAAGTAATTGTTCGGCTTGTTCTAATAAAGCTCCAGCCAATACAACAACACCAGTAGTACCATCACCAATTTCATCGTCTTGTGATTGAGAAAGTTCAACCAATAATTTGGCAATTTGATGTTCAACATCCATCATTTTAAGTATTGTTGCACCATCATTAGTGATGGTAACATCGCCATCAGCTGAGACCATAATTTTATCCAGACCTTTCGGTCCAAGCGATGTTCGTAATATTTTAGCTACACTAATACCAGCCAAAATATGGCTCTACGGATCGAATAAAATTGAAAATTAAAATTAGTTTTGTAATGAAAAAAAAATGCGAATAAAATCATTTTATATTTACCTTGATAGCTTCAGTACCGGTCAATCGTTTTTGTCGATCTTGATCTTTAAGAATAAAGAATGGCCTACCAAATTCATCAAAAGCTAAAGTTCCTACGCTAGCCATTTTTTTCGTTTGTTTGTTTGTTCAAGAATTAAACGATTAATTTGAAAAATTAAAAATTAAAATTGTGGGCAAAATCCAAAAAAAAGATTACACATTCAATGATCACTACACATACACACACCACTGAACAATGAAAACGAAAGCATGCTTCAAAAAGGCGTGATTATATCGATTGTATCGTAATTTCACCGAATGCTATCGATTTGGTTGTTCATCATCATCGACACGATTGTGCCATCTACATTCTGTCATTACAATTAATGAAATTCGAACCCCACAAAAAAACAAAACAAAAAATCAACATTAAATTAAATCAATGATCCAGAATTCCAACAAATAAATTTATCAAAAAAAAAAAAAAATGATAATGAATTCAAGTCAGAATAATTTCTACATCACTAAATTGAATCGTAAATGAAAATGGGTACCAAACTACAACGACAATGACAACAATAACGAACAACAACAAAATAAAAGAAATTCCATTTGGAACCTGTGAAGACAAAGTTATATATCTCATTATAATGCTAATTGACTGATGCTAATGTCCAATTATATCATCATCATCATCATCATCATTTATTATCATATCATTTTCATTACCAATTCTTATTCTATTTATATATAGGATCAAGGAATTTTCGAAATGACAATGATTTGATTATTTTGTATGACAATGATTATCATCATAATATCAAAAGATTCTGATCTGAAAGAATAGAAGTGATTTGTAGAATTGTAAATTTCAAATTTAAGATATACAATTGAATATCTCTCTCTTCTCAACTTTAATCATGAATTGCATCGTCGTCGTCGTTGTTGTTGTTGTTGTTGTCTTTCGCACAGAATATTTTTCAAGTACAAAAATTCCATGTCTCATGTGTGCGCGCACGCATCGCCTATCCTATATAGAATCATCACCTGAATCATGAAGAATTTTTTTCTTCTACAGTTGCTAGCTGAGAATTCATTCATTCCATTTTTCGTTGATATAAAACACCAAGTGAATCTAGTATTTGGCGCGATTCTTCGTGTAAATCGCATCGCGTAACAATCATCATCATCATCATCAACGATCCAAGACAAATGAAAGAAAAAAAAATTCAACGTGAAAAATTATCTTCTTTATCATGATATGATGTTATTTTTTTTTCCACTCTGATTATGAATGTTGTTGAAAAAAAAATGATTTTGTTTATCGTTTGACAGTGACATGAAATATTATTATTTTTTTTTGTCTCTGCAAAAAAATGAAGAATTTTCAAAAATTTGGATTCGCTTCGTTGCTGTTTTGTGTTCCTAGCTATCTGGTGACAATGTGAATGATGCAAATGATGTAATGTCAACATCTTTCGTTTGTTTGCAATGAAAAAAAAACCTCGACTATGTCTGCATTGACATTATTAAAATAAAATAAAAAAAAAATTAATTTGCATTTGAATCATATCGTTCGTCTGATTCTTTTTTTTTTTACTACGTTCCAATGCTGATATCACGTCATCATCATTGTTGTTTGTTTGTTTGTTCGTGTGTGTGTGTTGTGTGTTGACATAATAAAATTCTTTCGTGTATTTTACATCGAAGAATGTGAAAATTATCAACTCAAAAAAAAAATTTCTTCAGGAATAAAGATCGACAGACAGAATTTTTTTCTTTTTTTTCTTCTTCATCGATTCTGGAAAATTTGTCGCCATCATTGAGAAACTTTTCCTTCTTCTGTTGGTAAAATTTCAACCGAAATTTTAATCCCATTCAAAGTTTTTTTTTGCGTGTGTTTGCGGGTTTATTCTAATGAAATGAACAGGAAAAAAATCCTTTTTTTCATGTTTGTTTTTCTTCGGTCTTTTGTTTCATAGAAAAAAAATGGAACACAATCGTTTTTTTCTTCTTTGGATTCATTTCCGTATTCGATTATTATTATCGTTCGATTTCATGTTGAAAAATTTTTAAATGAAAGAATTCTCGAGGCTTTGATGAGTTTTTTTTTATTTGTTGAATTGAAGAATTTCGTTTACGAATCCAAATTCAGGCTAAACAAAACGAGAAGAATTTTTTAGAATCAAGAATATAGTGAAAAAAATTTGAATTTTACGTGACCGAAATATTTTTCACAATCTTCTTCTTCTTCTTCAGCTGATGAACGATTTTGTGATGGTGTGAATCGATATTCATTTTGGCTTCAAATTTTATCGACAAAAACAACAAAAAACTTTACACACGAACAACACTCGATCATTGATCAATCTCTTGTCGGTGATCATCATACAAATAATCAGACCAAAAAAATCAGACGACGAATCCAATCATCATCATCATCGTCATCATTATTGATCGTTGCCGGCAAATCAAAATCCATCAATTTCACAGTTCTATTAATATATGATGATGATGATTCTTGATTTATTCTCCATCATATCGTCGTGTCTGTATGTAAACAAATTTCATTGCTCATTTCATATTCTAAACGCTCAATATAAATCATCATCATCATCATAATAATCATTATTATCATCATCATCATCATCTGAATAATTTAGTGCACGAATAAATAGAGAAAAATATTAGTAACGAATCCAAAGAAAACAAAAAGAAAAATCGAATCGAATCGAACATTTACATAATCCATCATCATCATCATCATCATCATAATCATAATTTTTATTATCGATAGTATCGATACGATTCGTTCATTCTTTATTTCTTATTTATAAAATTTTTTTGTTTCTGTGTGTGTGATTTCGTTTTTTTTTTGTTTAAATTCATAATCAAAAAAATCATTATTGAAGACAAAAAAAAAATGGCCAAAAATATGGATGATACAGATGAAACGGATGATCATCATCATCGTCATCATTCGAAGATTCATCCGCTTGTAATTATCGTTATTCCATTATTATTATTATTTGTAAATAATGTTACGTGTGTGATGATTCAACAACAACAACAACAACAACAACGTTAAATTTAACTTCAACAACAACAAACAACAACAGATTTATCAATATTCAATACATCCACCGTTGTTGTTGTTGTTGATGTTGGACAACAACAACAACCACCGTCATCATCATCATCATCATCATCATCATCATCTACCGCTAGTATTCAATCAAGTATGTAAATTTTTTTTTTTTCCAATTTTGAAAATTCATGGAATATTTTTTTTTTTTTTGAATTTCATTCCATTATTTGTTCTTTTGATTATCATTAGTTTCCATTTGATTGGATATTTGTATTTCCAATACGAATGTCGAATATATTCGTTTGTTTTTTGCTGCCCTTCCCAAAAAAAAAATCTGTCTCATTCGTCACTAGACAATTCTCTATGTGAATACAATGGTTTTGTTGTCGTTTTTTTTTCATTTTATTTCATTTTATTTTTATTTATTATCATGATTATGTATTCAAAATACGGGAAAAGAATTTTTTTTTATTCTTCTTCGTTTGTCATTCAATTCTCAATTCTTTTTTTTAAACTAAATAATTCAATGAATTGAATGAATAGGGGAATAATTCTGTACGAATATTCTTGTCTATAGACAGAAACAAAAAAAAAATTAAGCCATTATCATTTAAAATTAAATTTCTCTACATCAAAGAGAGACTGACTGACTGAATAGAATACTGGAATTTGTTTCGCTAAACAAATTAAAATAAATGTTTTTTTTTTTGGTTCCATCTCTCTTCAAAGTGCTGGAGTATATTGGTCGTAAATTCAATATTTGAAAAGCGAATATAATATATATTGGATTCTGGTGTAGATCCAACAACAATCTCAAATGGCGGTTTTCGTTGTTGTTGTTTTTTTTTGTTTTGCTTTGATCATCATTGTCACTGCTGTTGTTGAATTTTTTTTCGTTTCGTTTCGTTTCGTTTTTGTTTTTTGTTTTGCTATTTACATGTGATTATCATAATCAAGTTTTCCATGTGTGTGTGTATATGCTGTTGGAATTTTGCCTTTAGCATTTTATTTTTTCTGATTCAAAACTTTTTTTACAATTGCACAATTGGTTTTAATTTCATTTCATTCCATTTTGTTTTTCTTTCACTTTCATTTTTATTCTTGAGAATTCATAGATTCACACCAACTTATTACAGAGAAAAGTTTTTTTTGCACTTCTGTTTTTTGTGTTCAGTGTGTGTGTGTGATTCAGCTATAATGAGATTGAGAGAGAGAATATTTTCCATCCATCCATTTAAATCAAATTGTATTCGAAAATTCAATTCTTGTTCGTTCGTTCGTTCGTTCTCAAGAATTTGGAACTTTTTTTTTATTCTTCTTTAGGGCTTGATTTGTTTTGAGCTTGTTCTCTGTTGGCTGTTTGTGTGTGTGTGTGTGTATGATGGCCATCATTTTAAAATTTCACATCTTCATTTACACAGTAAACAGTTCATTTTTCGGTATATTTTTCTTATTTCAACTGGTATAAAAATGAAGAATAATTTAAATAAGAAAATGAAGAAAAAAAAAGTTTTCAGATTCTTTCGTTAGAATTGATTCATTTTCATTTGATATTTTTATTTTATTCCTCATAGTCATCATCATATTTCATATCTTAATTGGTTAATGTGTGCTATGTGTGTGTGTGTGTGTGTGTTTAGTGTATAAATGATTTCAAGACTTTAGGCCAAATTCTTCACAGAATAAAAAAGACATGACAGACACTCTAATTGGGTTTGTGTCTGTGTGTGTGTGTGTGTTTTTCTCTCTATTTTCTCTGATTGAGGTTCACATTTTGCTGAGCTGTTCATTTTTTTCGATGTTGTTTCATTCTCAAGATTCTTATTTTTTTTTTTTTTTTTGCCTATTCCATTCCAACTTTGTTGGCTTTGTTGGATTTGCCCAGAAAAAAAACGAGCAAAATAAAAAAAAAATATTGCACACTACCGGTTTCATTTGCAATGAAAAATTTCATTGGCGATAATTTCTTTTACATAGATTCTTGATGAAGAAAAAAACAGAATAAGAAGAAAAACACATATGGAACCAAAAAAATAGATCCATTTCTCTTATTCAATTCCATCTGATGAATTTTGTCTTTTTTTCCATCACACACACACACACAATTTCATTTCCATTACATCCAAAATATTTTTTTTTGTCATTTATAGTGGATTAAAATTATTTATTGATGCGAAAAATCATTCACACATTATCATTATCATCCGTCGTTAAAAAGCCACCATTGTTGCTGAAATATCTTGACAAAATTAAAAGACAATCTTAACGTGTGTGTGTGTGCATTTGAATTTTTGACATTGATCTGTATCTTGCCGTTATGCTTTAATTCATTGTATAATCAAAACGGTTTTTCATAAAGGAACAGAATTTTTTGAATAATGAATTAAAATCATTCGTTGAAGAAAACGGCCATTGAGAATATTCTCGATATGATGATCGAGAGAGAGAGAGAGACTGATGCCTGTTTCGATTCTCATGTAAACAGCAGAAAAATATTTGTATCTTGATCTTGAAACGTATATAATCAAAAATGTATTTCAAACCCTTCAAAATCTACATTATCTAATGTGTGGATGATGCGGATGATGATGATGCTTTTGTGATTCCATTTCAAATTTTTCTTTTTCTTTTCCATTCCATATTGTATATAACAGTCTTCTTCTTGTCGTTTATGCTTTTCAGTTCATTGCTTATTTCCATACAGACAGATATTAGTGTGTTTTGTGTGTGTGTGTGTGTGTGAAGAATACATTTAGATATATCACATCTAATTATGATAATTATGTTTTAATACAATATCAACATCAACATTGTTGAAATCATTTTTTTTCGCGTGTGTGTATGTGTGTGTGTGTGTGTGTTTGAATGAATGGATGGAATAAAAATTGTCGTGCAAAAATAACGACAATCTACGTGTGTGTGTGTGACTGTTGCCCGTATAGAGAATATTCTCGATATGATGATCGAGAGAGAGAGAGAGAGAGAGACTGATGCCTGTTTCGATTCTCATGTACATTTGTATCACCCGTATATATATATATATACCGGTGATTATCATGATTATTTTGACCATTATGTGGCTTGTTTTCTCTCTTTTTCGTTTTTTTTTTTTTTTTTTTGATGAGATAATGATTACGTCCATATTATTGGCTGGATAAGTAATAAATTATTCTGTATGTATTTAGAATGATAGAATACGAAAATTTGACGTTTGATTTTTTTTTGTTTTGTTTGCGTTCCAATGATTGTTTCAATGGTGGTGGTGATCATTGATTGAAATTGTCACGAAATAGCATTATTGTGTGTGTGTATCATGGAAAATCATGTGAATGAAAAATGGCACGCGCACCAATTTTTTTTAGTGATTCAAATGTGATTCAAGTAAATTGCTAAATTCTCATCCAAATCAAATGTAGATGTTGCTGCCCAGAATCTACGAATATCGGCCAAAACGAAAACTATTTGTTTTCATTTCATTCAACTACCATTCTTCGGTTTTTTTTTGTTTGGATTCCTTTTTTTGTCTTGAAGTTATGAATGAACGAAAAAAAACTAGAAGGAAAAAACCAGTTCTCCGGGTTTGGATGTCATTTTTTGTTGTTGTTTTTTTGTTCACGATCACAAAATTTTTTTTCTGTGTATGTCGATATCTTTTTTTCTTATCTGACTGGGCATTAATTTAAATTTTAAAATAAATACATCCTTTATACAGAATCTGGTGATGGTGGTGGTGGTGGTGGTAGTGGTGGAAAGAATAGAATTTTTCTGGGCCCAACAACCAGAAATTCATCATCATCATCCATTCCATTGATTCAATGTGATTCATTGAAATTCAGTTTGAAAATAGAAAAAAAGAATCTTTTGAAAGAAAAAAAAATTTTGCGGACAATTCTCTACAATGTAGCCATTGCTACTTTTGGCTGCAATATATATTTTTCTTCGTTTCCTATTCCGTTCACATTGTTGTCCGGATGTTTATTTATTCTTGTTGTATTTGTTTATGTGTATGTGTTTGGGTACATATTGATTTTGTCATTTTTTTTCATTCTTATTCTCTCTTTGTTGCGAGATTCTATGATGAAAATACAGAATTTGATTCTATTTTGAAAATTTTAAAGAAAAACAAAAACAAAAATCGATGATAAGTATCAATGTTGTTGTTTGTGTGTGTGCGTTTGATAAATATTTATCGAAATGTAAAGAGTTTCTGTGATTTCGTTTGTTTTGTTTTTGTTTTATTTTTCGCTCGTAAAGATCTAAATTAAGATATCAAAATGGTTCAACTAATGTTCAATCGATTGAGTTTTTCTTGCACTTTTTTTCCGCATTGCTTTGTTTCTATTTCTATTTCTGTCAGATTATCGCACATACACTCACACACACATGAGAATAGAATCGAAAAAGTGAGAATCGTTTAGATATGACTAAGTCTAAAAGTTTTTTCAGTTTCAATTTTTTTTTCGTTTGACAATAGTCAGCAATTTTCATTCTCTTTCACTAACTGAATGGCTGAATTTTTTTTTTTTTTTTTTTTTGTTAATTTATTAATACCATTATGAGATAGAGTTTTAAAAGCTTGGTTTTTCATGTTCATTTGGGCAAATAAATCAGCTTTTTTTTGTTTGCCAATGACGATGATGATGATGATGGTTGGTTTTATTGAACCACACGCACATTTGATTGGGATGAACCTTGATTGTTTGAAAAAAAAAAATTTTTTATTAGTAAAAATTGCACACTGAAAAATAACACTCTGTTTTTGGCGTGATCCATAACAACAACAACAACAACAACAACAACAAAAACTTTGACACTAATTAGTGAGGGTGAACAGCAACATCAAAAAAAAAAAAAAATTATTTATTGGGTCCATCACATTTTTTTTTGATTAATCCAATAATGAGAAAGTTTTTTCCTGTGTTTGTTTTTTTTTTGCGTGATTTTGCATATATTGTGTACCATATGCAAAATACAAACATATATATTGATCAGTAATAAAGTTTGCTTTTTGTTTTGTTTTATGGATTTTTGTTGTTGTTGTTCTGTGTCTACCTTCGTGATTTTATTATTTTTTTTTTTTCCAAGTGCATGATAGAAATTTACCGCTTCATTCCCGGCTGTTGTAATGATCAAACAATATATGCAGAGAAT